TTGATTTACTTCAATCTACTGTACTGTGTAAAAACACCCCAACAATATTACAAGAAATATACTGCATAAAGCAAACTATATACTTTATTTGATCTAAAATATTGATGTTTTTTCATTATAGTAGCTTGTGAAAACCACACAGTAACAAATAAGTGATCAAATGCTACAGTATTCAGAGAACACAACTGCAGAGCTGCAAATCTTGCAAACAGACTAAGTTCATCAACACCCAGTTGTCTTTGTGTATTTTGTGAATGAAGCGCCATCTCATGATTAAATCCTGTAATTGAACAAATGGGGAAATTGGGCAACGCCCTCTAGCAATTTGGCAACACCCCCAGCCACTGGCATCCACTGGGCTTTTGACTGGGACACACCCATCTGAGTCTGATCTGGAGTGCTCATCTGTATAACTGTTTAAGTTCTAGAATTACAATAAATACATTAAAAAGCTTACAGTAAATATAACAAGGCAATTCAATTAATGTTAAAGCTGTGTTGATTTATATACCTTGTGCATATTTGTGTATGTAGAAATGATCATAGAATTGATTATATTTTGTCTTGTTTATTTTTTGTTTCACACCTTCCTTATATCATTAAACCTGTGAGCAAAGGATTCACGTCTTCAGAGTCTTGGTGTACGGAGGGAGTTTATCTGGCTGTTAAGATATATACACACTACATATACCGGGGACAGCACAGTCTGCAATGAAATGGTTGTCTCCTGTGCGCTTCACTTCCTCCTTGGCGCACCGGTAACTTTTTCAAATAAAAAAGTGCGCTCGAGAAAGTTTCTCGTGCTCACCAGAAAGTTTCTCGTGCGCACCAGAAAGTTTCTCGTGCTCACCAGAAAGTATCTCGTGCTCACGAGATACTAACCCGTTATCCTGACTTTTTTTTTTCTCTCTTTTTTTTTTTTTTTTTTTCATGTCCCTTAGGGGCTCCGTAATTGTCTATATTTATTTTTTGTTTGTTTTTCCTACTTTTTATCTTCTTTAACTGTGCTTATGTGGCACCAAGGCAAATTCTTAGTAGGCTATGTGTAAACCTATTTGGCAATAAACCTGATTCTGTTTCCGATCATTTCCGATTGTCAATTATTGAACATGGGTGTTTCTCAATGTCGAGGAAGGCTGCTCCAGAGCCACTATTTCAAGCATACTACGTCATCGAGTGCCGCCGAAGGACTGTTCCAAAGTCCAGCATACTTGGAATTCTACCGAGGCCGGCGTACTTCGTAGCGAGAAATTTCGAGGCTGCACATGTGTAGACGCCGCGGTCTTAAAATCCCCACAATGCTTTGCGCACGGACCAATTTCCAAATCTTTGGCGGAAATAGCGCTCCATTTAAGGTGGGGCCTCGCATATGACGCACACCTGTTAGCCTGTTCCACAAATCTTTGTTTTCCGAGGCTAGGAAGGATTCTTGCCTCGCTTCTGAAGCAAGTGACTCGGAAGACATGTGCTACCAAGCAAGCGTCCTCGACATTGAGAAACACCCCATTAGTAGATATAGTATGTATTAGATTAGTATTAGAAATAAACAAATGCAATCACATATGATCAACCCTTTGACTCAGCTCCTGTAAAGTGTTAAAAACGTCTCGTGAGTAATGTGCAATACCGGAGTCCAACAGAGAGGAAGCAGCTGCGAAACAGTAGCCTGCATACTGCGTAGCCTTCCATGCCCTGAAGAAGAAGTGATCCTTCGTTAGCGTGATGAGTCTACTATATGCTATGAAGGTAGATATGGTGCAAAATGCGAGAGCGTGTAAAACCTGATGTGAGCACTTGCAGAAAAAAAATCTGAGCTTGTGTGCACACTTGTATAAAATATCCACGTACCTGTGAACCAAATTTGAAGTCACAGGAAAAAAAAAAATGTTTGTAGCTTGTAAAAAAAAAATGAACTTAGTGATGAAATGTTCACTTGCAGAAAAATACATATTTTTTAAATATATTTTCCATTACAACTTGGTTATTACAACCTCTCAAATCGGTCATTACAACTTCACGAATCTGCTCTGTGGCAGTATAAATCGACGAATCTGCGGCCTTGACTTTTGCTACACTTCTTGCAATGAATGTGTTGCTAAAGTAATTTTCACCTGTAGATGTGGGGGGAGGGAGGGGGGTTGGCGCGAAGGGGCGGAGCTATCAGAATGACGAGGCGCAAGCTCGGGTCAGTCACACAGCCATGTCAGGTCGAACCGGTTGACTGTGGGGCCCTGCATGTTGCCCCTTTCACACCAACGCGGTACCAGGGCCGGTTCGGAGCTTGAGCCTGATAAGCACCGTTTTTTCCTGTTCGCGCTGCAGCGGAGCCGGCTCTTTTCCCCGAAAACCGGTTCTTAGACAAGTAGAATCATAAAAATACGCTGGTAAAATGTGCCTGTAGAAAACGGCTTATGCCACAATAGAATAGCAACAAGTAATCAAGATAGTCAGTTTAGCTTCGGTTTCTATGCTAACATCACCCATTTTATACCAGAGAAACTTTCATAACAGCGTTGTGATGCCAAGCAGCGTCAGACTGACACACATTCACTTTTGGGGAATTGGGGATATTTATCAGCTGCTTGTGTGACAGTCAGACAGTGAATATTTCACAGCGACCGCTGCTGTACAGTTAACGGGAGAATAAACTCCAGTGGACGAGCAGCACTGCAGCGGTCGGTAAATGCAGCTGAAACACATTAGATTAGATTATAATCTTTAATGACCACACAGCCAGGCTGGTGGAATTGGTGTTCAGTGCAGATTATTACAGCTTGTTCCATACAATTCAACATACAATAAACAGACAATAAAAAGTACAACACACAGCACAGGGCAAAGACATACATCATGACATATACATAAAGTTCAAGGTGTGATGGATTGTGATTGTTCATTGGGGTTATTTACAGTGGCGTTTTCTCCTGGAGGCCAAGGGAAGCCAGGCTTCCCCTGTTTTTTCTGATTGTAGTTATAATTTGAATAAATAAATAAAAACACTTTGTTTAGTTTCAGAAATTCTTTGTTGTGTGTTGCTGCCGGCCCGTCTCTCCCCCATTCTCATTGAGTATTTTACAAAGAGTGAAACAGCGCCCCTCTAGATGTTATGGTGAAACAGTAGATTGCACTCTCTGTTGCGAGAAGAGGCCAGCCGAAATTGGCTTCCCTTGGTGAAATAAAATGGAGGGATTGACCAATCAGACAAGGCTCACGTCATGCCCCTGCCAACCTGTGATTAGTCAGGGCCATGCCAAGGGAAGCCAGAGGCGGCTGGCTTCCCTTGCCTCACAATCCAATCAAATCGCATCAACTTAGTGTTGCAGTGACGCATTCTAAAAAGCGCTCGCGTTCCCTCGACAAAAAAGCAATGGGATTTCTCCATAGGATTTTGGAAAATAGCTCGAAATAAGGTCAGTGGAAAACGAACCTGTTGATAAATGCACGTTTTGTTCAGTCGGATAATATCCACATGTCTACCCTACTTTTATAATTTTCTAATCATAAATCTAATCGATAGAAGATAGATAGCGTCACTGCACCACTCTCACCGCCGTTAGAAAGTAGCAAGCAACTGAAACAAGTGCAATTATGGAGGGTGGAGATTTGGAGTATTTCATCAAAAATAATTCTACTAAACTTCCGCTACAGCAGCAACAACAAATCAAATCTGATGACAGGCCAATGCCCAAACTGGAGCTCTGTACAGAGAGGAAAAAAGGAGCGAATCGGAAGTAAAACGTTAAAGGTCTCCTGATTTAGTTTGTGAATGAATGCTTATTAGAGTTTGGGCTGGAGAGTGCGTGCGGATCTGTCGGTTAGATAACAGGCGTGTGTAAGTCCTGCATCTGTATGATACAAATGTGTGTAAAATGATACCGGGTGCTGTAATCACCCATCTGGTTACGTTATTACATTGACCACCACACCCCCGACCCAAAAGAAAGGAGGTATTATTGGCTTGCCCTCATTTTTTCCCCACGCCACGCCACTGGTTATTTAGAGTCCATTTAGTGTCCGTATTGCAAAGTGGTTCATAAACGATGAACCACGGCACTCTGGAGAAAAGTACAAGGTTGGAGAAGTCGTTATTTAATTTAATCTGTATGACCCGTATAATTAAAAGTAACACGATCATCGACCCGACGCAGTCCCCCATTGTTGTTGTTGTGAGCGAAGCACGGAGCTAGAACGGGAGCTGCGTTGGTGTGAAAGGGGCAACAGTCACAGACTATGGCTGTGACTGTTGCCCCTTTCACACGGAGCTAGAACGGGAGCTAGGTTGGTGTGAAAGGGGCCACAGCAGACTTGTGTGTGACTGACCCGAGCTTGCACCTCCTCGTTCTGATAGCTCCGTCCCTTCGCTCCAACCCCCCTTCGTCCCCCCACATATTCATCGCAAGAAGTGTAGCAAAAGTCAAGGCCGCAGATTCATCGATTTATACTGCCGCAGAGCAGATTCGTGAAGTTGTAATGACTGATTTGAGAGGTTGTAATAACCAAGTTGCAGCTGTAATGGAAAATATATTAAAAGAAAATAGTGAACATTTCACCACTAAATTCATTTTTTTTCCTACAAGCTACACATTTTTTTTCTTCTTCTGTGACTTCAAATTTGGTTCACAGATGCGTGGATATTTTATACAAGTGTAAATGTATGCACACAAGCTCAGATTTTTCTTCTGCAAGTGCTCACATCAGGTTTTACAAGCTCTCGCATTTTGCACCATATATACCTTCATATATGCGCTCCGCAGTAGCCCCGCTGCGAGGCTCCAGCTCCACTAGCAGCCCGCCCCCCCGCTCAACAACTTCAAATTTCTTCTCCTATGGTCCTAAATACGCTACTGGTTGACACAGTATGTGTGTGTGTGTGTGTGTGTGTGTGTGTGTGTGTGTGTGTGTGTGTGTGTGTGTATGTGTGTGTGTGTGTGTGTGGTGTGTGTGTGTGTGTGTGTGTGTGTCTGTGTGCGTGCGTGCGTGTGCGTGTGCGTGCGCTTCACCTCCATAGGCCACAGTGCCTTGTGGGTCTGCGGTCAGGCTTTGTCTCAGTTTCTTCCTCTTTTCTTCTGTGACGTCCAAACCGAGGAAGGTCAAAGCCTAAAGCAGAGAAAGAAAAATAAGATTGTAATTTCATTTAGCCCTAAATGGTCTGTTTCTTGCATGGATTGAACAAAGAAGCCACAGAGGAGACCTGGGCCTCATTTATAAACGTTGCGTACGCTCAAAAGATGGCGTAAGCCAGTTTCTAAGCAATCTTTGCGATTTATAAAAAAACGGGAGAGACGAGAAACTGTGACACCGTTGGCAGAAGGAAGAATGGAGAGAAATATGTGGAAATAATACCATAAATAAAATGTTACCTCTCATTTATCATATATGAAGAATTAATTTTCACAAATGGATTAAAGCCAATCTTAAAATGATTAAACAAACGCCTGCTTGAGACTCCTCAGCGCACACAAAACAATAACTTGGAGAAATAAATACGGAAATGTTATTGATCACCACTCGATTATGTTCTCTTGCCTCTTAAGCCCCACTGACCCGGTTCCGGGGCCGAAATTGCGTCATTTGCAGGAAACAACGTCTAAGGAACCTTAATATTTAATAAACTATGAATATTTTATATCCATATAACGGGAAAAAACTAATTTAACTGATCTTTTTCATTTTTTCTTTTTTTAAAAACACACAATGAATTAGCCCCGAGCGAAAAATGCTAACCTATTACTGCACAGAAAATCACTCCTAGCTCCCTTATTACTTATCCTAGCTGCACATCCAACACATCATTTATGATCGTAAAGACACAGAATCTAACGATGCCCACCTCAACACTGAAAGATACAAACTCGCAACGTTATCAACAAAAACGTACATCAAAACATGTGACGCTAGGTAGCCTAAAACGCTAACATGGCTTACCTTGGTCTTTGTCTGGTCAAAACGGGTCTTCAATGGCATTAAAACGATAACAACGATGATGTAGTTAATCCATAGGTTAATATCCAATGTGACTGTGTGTGTCCCCTTTGAAATGTTCTGATAATCCATAAGCAATAAAACTGCAATTCCGTTTTCAAATATCAGAGCAGGGATATTCCTACGCTCTGCAGAAGATTGCATGAGCAGAGACGCAACTAATTTGAACATGAGTGTGTGCGGGACGATTTCCCTTCGATTCTATTGGCTCTAACGGTCAGACAGAGATGGCACATGTCAAAATCGAAGAAGGGGGGCCAGAGATATGGAAAATCGACCCAAATGGCCCGAGAAGAGTTTATTTTGCTAAATCTGTCTAAAAAGGTCAAATATCACTTGTTTTGCATCAATCTTGATACAGGGTACTTATTATATGTTGTACTTTGGATTCTTGAAGCTTTTAGTCTACTAACCCATCATCCAAGGTTAATTTTCACTATAAGTACAAAATATGTTTTGGACAGACACTATAATTTACAGTTCTTTAACATGTTCAATCTGAATTTTCTTTAAAATATCCTACGCAAAGCTTTATAAATTTGGCCCGAGGTTACAGGACTCACTGTTTTTTGGAAGATTATACTTTCCATGACATACCGTCCAGGTTTCTGTAATGTCAAGTCTGGCGTCTTGTCAAGCAACTTTGCTTTGGACAGGACTGTTTCTATCCCTAATGCCATATTGCCCCCCACCTGGACTACAGTAACCAACAGTAACCATCACCTGGGAGATTGGGTCAATGGGGAGACAAGCTCAAAGTCAACAGCCTGGCCCTGGTTATGTCCACATAGCTGCCTGCTTGTGCCAAACTCACTCCTCCATTGCTCACTCTACACACCGCTAATATGACCCCCCCCCAGTTCCCAGCCGCCCTGGGTCTGAGATTGCAGAGGATTCTGTCACCAGTCTCTTGCTCTACCCAAACTTCCCTCAGCTAAGGAGACGGCAGACATCTTGGTGGACATGTCTTCCGTTAGCAGTGTCTTCCTTCAGACATTATCTCTCTCTCTTTCCTCTGCCCTCTCCAGTCCCTGGCTCTACTATGAACTCTTTGCCTCCGGCCTCTGTTCTGCACCTGGGTTCTCAGGCACTCGTAACACATTGTAGTAGTGCTTAGAAAGTCTGAATGTGCTTAGCATAACCACACCATCAACCATCAATAGAACAAATCTGACTTCCAATGAACATTTAAAAATCCTCCTTTCCTCTTCCATATTTTGTATTCATAACATATACATGAATTATAGTACACATTCATCAATTTATACACTTGTAATACAATGTAAATGAGGGTAAGGTGCTCAAAAAAACGAGTGAAATGATCTAAACTCAAGGGAAGTTGCTAAATGTTGGGGGCCTAAAGAGCCCCAGCAGAAGTAATGAGACATTTTCTAAAGAGGACCTGTGAAACATATCATCTGGTCAAAATGTTTTTAAGCAGCCTCTGTGTTTTCGAGGGGAACAAGGGGTCTGTGGTCTCCAGGATATTCAAATCTAAATTTGAGAATGAATTTTACCAGGGTGATGCTAATAATTCACATCACTCTGATTTCATTGCATTGAGCTAACACATGAAGAGAGGACCTTTTCTGTATTTAACTTTAGCATTTAACCTCTGTCTCTCTAATCCCATTAATGAATTGGTAGATTAGGATCAACCACCAATTTTACCAGGGTGATGCTAATAATTCACATCACTCTGATTTCATTGCATTGAGCTAACACATGAAGAGAGGACCTTTTCTGTATTTAACTTTAGCATTTAACCTCTGTCTCTCTAATCCCATTAATGAATTGGTAGATTAGGATCAACCACCAATTTTACCAGGGTGATGCTAATAATTCACATCACTCTGATTTCATTGCATTGAGCTAACACATGAAGAGAGGACCTTTTCTGTATTTAACTTTAGCATTTAACCTCTGTCTCTCTAATTCCATTAATGAATTGGTAGATTAGGATCAACCATCGGTTGAGCTAAATTAAAAGCAATAGAGTCAGAGAACGAGCAGAAGAGAACCATCAGCAGAGACAGGAAGGAGGGGGCAGGGGGGGGGGGGGGTGAATGTGCTGAAAGGGTAAGAAGAATGTACAGATGAAGAGCGCAAGCATGATAAACCAGCGAAGAGAGACTGAGAGAGAGATCAATGATGAGATGAAGAGAGGGCCTGGGGGAGAAGAAGGAGAAGAATCCTCTGCTCAGGGTTTCTCTAAAAACCTAAATGGAGAGCCGAAACGTGCATGATGTAAAGTGTGCTTGATAAGAATAAATATGAGGATCATATGTCCCTCAAAGGCTCCACATCTCCCCCCCCCCCACTGAACCCAATCTGTGGGACAGCGCTCTCCCCACAAACCTGACCATCAGAGAGATGGTAGTTATTCTTAAAGCCTGTCACAGGGTCATTTTGCTGGGAAAACCATTAGAACCTATCTTTGAGAAGAGCCTATGTTTAGATTATCACAGGCAAAGGTTGGCAGCGTTGGGGGTAATCAGATTACATTTGTCTGTAATGCAGTAATGTAACGTGTAAACTGTTGATAATGGCAGTAATTGCATTACAGTTACTAAGCGCAAAATGATCTTGTAACTTGCGTTACTTTAAGGTCTTCGACTCTCTGCATAACGGGAGGACAGAACATTTAATCAAACGTCCCTTTCCGCTGCGCTACATTCAGAGTTCATGGATGAGGAGACGGAGCAGGAATGTTAGTCTCATAGCAGAGATCAACAGTTGTTTGTGTACATCATGGAGGACATGTTGTCCGTTCCCACGGTGGAATCGCCATCTTTACCAAACATGTTGAGCAAGATAACAGGGGGCGGCCGCCATCAGACAGGAAGACATTTACAAGCTACCTGGACCAGAGCTCTGATGGAAACTGAGCTAAAGGAAACATGATGTTCAGACAGAGAGCAGAGGTCTGTGTGCAGGACTGTCCTGATCAGATTAAAGGTTTGTGCTGATCTCCTTGAAGAAAGTTCCTTGTAAATTGCTTTGAATCCTGGTCAGGCTGTCATGAAATGTGGGTGTGGATATTCATGGTCCCCAAAGGATGAATCCTTGTGGCGACACCTTTCTTATTTAGCTGGTATCAGGACAAACTCTATTGAATTACAGTTGAACTGTCAGGTTTTATTCGCTGAGCATGTTGCTGCTGGGCAGACAGTCTCTGTGGATTTGGTGGAAGTAGCTGCTGTGGTGATAGAAGAACCAGATCAAAATATTCTATTGCTTTATATCTTTCTGTTGTAGGTATTACAGTCCATGCCTTTGTATGTGTGCGTCTAAATGTCCTTTCTAATATCATACATGTTCTTCTGCAGCCACTCAACAGTTGTATATCTCTCTTCTCGATTTTATGTTTTTAACGGAAACTTGGATTGAACAAAATAACAGTGCAGCTGTTCTTATCGAATCAACCCCTCCCAACTTTAGTTTTATGAGTCAGGAAAGAATGCATAAGAAAGGGGGTGGAGTTGCTATTCTGTTCAATGATTCCCTTCAATGCAGGAAGACATCTTATGGGAACTTTGCTTCTTTTGAATATGTGGCCCTTCAGCTGAAATGCTCCTCTCGAGCTCTGTTCCTAATATCTATAGACCACCCAAATACTGTGCAAGCTTTTTTGATGACTTTACTGAACTGCTGTCTATAGTGTGTATTGACTTTGACCGTCTAGTCATTGTTGGTAATTTTAACATCCATGTTGACAACCCCCAGGACAGAGGGGCTAAAGAACTATTTTGTGTTCTTGATAGCTATGGACTGACTCAGCATGTGACGGAGCCCACGCACAATAAGGGGCACACTCTGGACTTAATTATCTCAAAGGGTCTGAATATCTCTAAGGTTGTTAAAAGAGATAACCACAAAGCGATATTTAACTGAAAATACTAGGGAAATGTCAGAATTTTTCTTCCACACTTGCCCCTGCTAACATCTCAGTAAATGAGCTAGTAGATCATTTTAATTCAAAAATTAAAAATGTTATAGATGCCATTGCTCCAACTAAGGTAAAGGAAGTGACTGGGAAGAAAATATCTCCATGGAGAAAGGCCATGACCATGAGAGCAGAACAAAGAGAGTGTTGAAAAGCTGAACGCCGGTGGCGAAAAACAAATCTCCAGGTTCACTTTGAAATCTATAAAGAGAGACTTGGCCTTTATAATTTGGAATTGAAAAACGCACGAGTCTTTCTTCTCTGACATCATTACCAAAAACAAAAACAACGCACGTGCCTTGTTTGCTACCGTCGACAGACTAACTAACCCCCCAGTGTCAGTAGCCTCTGAATTTCTATCCACCAGGGCAGGCAATGATTCTGCCTCCTTTTTCACTGACAACATTCAGAAAATCAGACAAGCAGTCAGTGCCTCTGCATCAGGAACAGCAAATGTGTTGTCCCTGTGTCCACTTAACATCAATTCAAACACCATGACACAATTACATCAGATTAATGATAAAAACCTAGTGGACATTATTCAACTTCTGAAATCCTCCTCCTGCTGCCTTGATATTATTCCAACAGGATTTTTCAAAGATGTTTTGCCTTGCATGGCCTCAGATCTACTTCATATAGTAAACAAATCTCTTCACTCAGGTATTTTTCCACAGGCCCTGAAAACTGCAGTCATTAAACCGCTCTTAACAAATAATAATCTAGATGCTTCAGTCATGAACAATTACAGGCCCATATCAAACCTCCCATTTCTAGGTAAAATCATTGAAAAAGTTGTTTTTCAACAGTTGAGTAATTTCTTGCATTTAAATAGTTGTTTCGATGTGTTCCAGTCAGGCTTTCGTCCAAACCACAGCACTGAGACTGCTCTTGTAAAGGTCTTCAATGACGTCCACTTAAACACAGACAGTGGCAGAACTTCAGTGTTAGTATTATTAGATCTCAGTGCTGCGTTTGACACTGTTGACCACAGCATATTACTCGACCGACTAGAAAACTGGGTGGGACTTTCGGAAACAGTTCTGAATTGGTTTGAATCCTACTTAAAGGACAGAAAAAACTTTGTTTCTATAGGTAAATACACATCTGAGTTGACAAATATGACATGTGGGGTACCTCAAGGCTCCATCTTGGGGCCTCTTCTCTTTAACATCTACATGCTAACACTGGCTCAGATAATGAAAAACAACAAAATAAGTTAACATAGCTATGCAGATGACACACAAATGTACGTAACAATTTCACCAGGAGACTATGCTCCAATTCAAACACTGAGTAAGTGCATTGAACAAATCAATGACTGGATGTGTCAGAACTTTCTCCAATTAAACAAAGATACAACTGAGGTAATGGTTTTTGGAGCCAAGTCAGAACGTATTAAAGTTAGCGCTGAGTTTCAGTCTGCAATGTTCAAAACAACAGATAAAGCCAGAAATCTAGGTGTAGTCATGGACTCTCCTGAGTTTCAACAGTCACATTAAAACTGTTACTAAATCAGCCTACTATCACCTAAAGAATATATCTAGGATTAAAAGACTAATGTCACAGCAGGATTTGGAAAAACTTGTCCATGCTTTTATCTTCAGTAGACTGGACTACTGTAATGGTGTCTTCACAGGTCTCACTAAAAAATCTATTAGAAAGCTGCAGCTGATTCAGAACGCCGCTACTCGAGTCCTCACTAACACTAAGAAAGTGGATCACATCACTCCTGTTCTGAAGTCTTTACACTGGCTTCCTGTGTGTCAAAGAATAGATTTCAAAAATACTGCTGCTGGTTTATAAAGCACTGAATGGTTTAGGCCCAAAATACATTTCTGACCTCCTGCTAAATTATGAACCATCCAGATCTCTTAGGTCTTCAGGGACTGTTCAGCTTTCTGTCCCCAGAGTCAGAACTAAACATGGTAAAGCAGCGTTCAGTTATTATGCTCCAAATATCTGGAACAAACTCCCAGAAACCTGCAGGTCCGCTGCAACTCTGACTACTTTTAAATCCAGACTAAAGACTTTTCTTTTTGCCGCTGCTTTTAATTGAACTATTCATATCTTAGACTGCACTGTAACTTTTATCCATGTACTTTTTTTCTTTTAATGTTTAATTGACTGCACTGTAACTTTTATCCATGTACTTTTTCTTTTAATGTTTATTTTATTATCTTTTCTTTTTAATGACTGATTTTAAATGCCATTTTCTTAATGTCTTTCGTTTTTTGTAAAGCACATTGAATTGCCTTGTGTTGAAAGGTGCTATATAAATAAACTTGCCTTGCCTTCAGTAGAACACTGGAGTGACAGGTTGTCTCCAGATTAAGCAGATGGAATATGCATGACACACACATCAGGATCACCCAGCTTAGTAGTGCTACAGCACTTACAATGGTTTGGTTTGTTTGAAGCAAATACATCTGCATTTCTCTTGTTGTTCAGAGTTGTAACTATAGTTTATGCACTTATGTGATGCACTTGTAAATCGAGGTTAGGAGAATCAGAGAGAGAGACGGGAGAAAGGTGGCAGAGCTTAACAAGGCAAATGCACCGAAAGCCTCGTACGCACTGAAATACACCACTTCAACATGCCCGGCATCCCACAACAGCAGAGGTGGGAGAAGTACTCATATCTAGTATTGAGTAGAAGTAGAAGTACCACAGTATAGGAATACTCTGTTACAGTAAAAGTCCTACATTCAAAAGGTTACTCAAGTAAAAATAGAAAAGTATTAGCATCAAAAAGGTGCAGCTAGTTTGAATGACTTTGTATACTGCAGGGTAGCTGGTGGATTTACTCCAGGTGGAACTAAAGTCTGATTTAACACTTGGTTAGATTTACCATCATTCATCCAGATCTGTGAAGTAACTAAAGGTATTAAATACATGTAGTGGAGTAAAAGTACACCATTTACCTCTGATTTGTAGAGGAGTAGAAGTACAGAGTAGCCACAAATAAAAATACTCAAGTAAAATACTAGTATCTCAAAATTAGTAGAGTACACCACTGCACAACAGGTCAAGTATTTGGCCTCATGGCTGTATAAAACCATCTGACTCACCAAGTCTAACTTGTCTGATTTGAGGCGTATGTAGGGGTCCAGTGTTATCTTAGGTTTGGCCCCCGTTGGCAAACTCTGACTTGTGGAACCTAGAGAAAGGAGAAAAGAAAAAGAGAAAGACGAGGGGAAAGAGGAGGAAACGTAGATAAGAGATGTGGTTGATTTGGTCACAGACAAAGGGGAAAGCAGTGAGCAGGATTTCTGGTAAATACATTCAGATATCAGGCCGGAGCCCCCTACTGGCCTTCAGCGGGACTCTGAGAGTAAGTGAGGCCACAGGACACTGAGTAAACAACAGGAGCAGAAATATCACTGCATAATCTGTATTTTGCGGTTGTGGTGATAGGGGAGGTGTGTGTGAGTCTGTGTTTGGGTGGGGGGGATGAGATCAGATGATTAAAAAGAGAAGGAAAGGTGGATGATTATATAGATGAGGCTGAGGGGAACACAGAGAGCGGGGGGGGGGGGGGGGGCATCAGCCAGTGCCTAATATTCATTTGATAAGTGTGTCTGTCCCAGATTGGTGAGTCTGCTATCACAACCTTCCCTCTGGTCCGCACCCCCCTGTTGCTAGGGATATGAACTAATTTCACTGATACCCTCCTCCAAGTCCCGCCCACAGGATTTGAACCACACCCTACCCCTGACTGGCAGGGATGATTGCTAGGTCTGCTGCCGGGACAACAGCTGTGCTTCAAACCTAAACAGCACGCATCATATCATTTGTTGTCATTCTAGTGTAAACACAATACAATATAAAAGAATACATACAAAATAGCCACATTTCAATTTCTTAAGAAGGATTGTTAGTTATGGCGAGGAGATCGAAACAATTGGGAGAAAGATTATTATTTTTTGAGAAAGTTTAAAATGTCAAAAAGGGAATCAAAATGTTTATTTAAAAGTGAATCCCTACGTTGTAGTGCCAAACACAAGAAGATTGAAAGTCAGGGGAGGATTTTCTTGTGCCTTTTGAGAATGAGGTTGAGACATTAAGAAATATATATATTTGCATTTCGACAAATGAGTTGTTGAAATGATGACAACCAAGATGAAATGTCTAGAATACACCTTTCAACCAGTCTTAGCAGAAATACGGAATTTTCAACTTTATTCTTGAGATGTTGGACATGTTCCGCTTGTCCGTCTCTGCAGTTGTTGTTTAAATAAGTTCAACTTATGTTGCTGTGACTGTTGTTGGTACACTGCTGACCTTGAAGACCGCGGAATTCTTGCTTTATAAAAAACAGACATGACCTCTGCAATCACTATACGTTCATTAGGAGCCCAGGTGATACATGTAGCTTTAGACTGGACTCTTATGGACACAGCTGCGTTTATCTTCAAACAGGATGAGGCTATGCTTTAGAGAGGAATGTGTGAAGGGTGAGAGGAAGAGGAAGGTCAGTCTGTCCCAGAGATCAGCTGACTCAAACAGATGAGTGTGCATTTGTTTACTGTAAGTCTGCGTGTGCAGCAGGAAGAACTGATAACAGCAACTTTACTTTAAATGGCATTAAGGTTTCATCCTTGCTTCCCATAATTGAGAGTGAGAATTAAACCAAAATAGTTTATTTATTGTCAGGAGTCACTCTTATAAAAAAAGAATAGCCAGTCATTTTTTGTATGTGCTCACCTCACCACGAACTACGGACATCTGTCATGGCTAGCAACAGGCTTAACCAATAAGAGGCTGCGGGGAGCGAGGTGGTCACAGCACCTAGGGAATAACCTTGACGGAGCTAATCCGGCCCAATAGGATTGGCTCTGAGCTGGAGGCGACCCTCGACATCAGACCTGCTGCTCCCAACGGTTCAGTTTCACCTTCCAGCACGTCCTCTTGGATTAAACACAACTGTTTTATATTGCTGTCATCTTCAGGTGTTTCAGCCAATAACACACTAGTAACACGTGTTATTAAAATGTCATTTCATCAAACAGTACATGTTTTGTGAATGAGCACATTGGTTGTCTACCAGGTTAATAATAGTTCTGAATTTTCAAATACTTTCAATAAGGAATGACGCTATATCCAAAAAATAGATTGTTCGTATGCTCAGTATTTCACATCACTGCATGACAGGCTGAGGTGGAAGAAGTATTCAGATGCTTTATACGGGTAAAAGTACCAGTAGATTATTGTCAAAATACTTCATTACAAGTTAAAGTCCCGCATTCAAAATGTACTTAAGTAAAAGTACAAAATAATTATCAGCAAAATGTACTAAATGTATAAAAGGTAAAAATTGCCTTTATGTGTGTCTAAAACGTTATAAATGTGACATTTATAGATAATATACATCAAGTAGCATTTCAAAGTTCTGCTTTACTTTTTGTAAAATATTTAAATAACGTGGCTCTTTTGTAACTTAAAGAGATAGTTCACTAGTTTAATTTAGAGATGGATTTTGTTAAAAGAAACTCAAGCTGTTTAATAGATATAGTGGAGTAAAATGACATGATCTCATGGTTTTTCTTACCACTGCTACGCTGACGTCACCCAATTAATTCTGTCCTTTCCCCGCTCAGAGACCCAGGTCGTCGCACGCATCTCTGCTTGTCTAGCTGACATCTCTCAGTGGATGTCTGCTCATCACCTCAAACTCAACCTTGACAAGACTGAGCTGCTCTTCCTTCCGGGAAAAGATTGTCCCACTCTTGACCTAACAATCAACATCGGCCCCTCTGTTGTTTCCCCGACTCAGACTGCAAGGAATCTGGGTGTGACCCTAGATAACAACCTGTCCTTCACTGCAAACATCGCTGCTACAACCCGCTGCTGCAGATACACGCTTTACAACATCAGGAGGATACGTCCCCAGCTGACCCAGAAAGCCACGCAGGTTCTGGTCCAGGCTCTCGTCATCTCACGCCTAGGGCCCTTCTCACTTCTCTTATTTTTCATTTCCTCGCTCCTCGGTCTCGGTCTCACCGGAAGTTGATTTGTCTGCGTCATCTTGAGTAGCGTCCCATGGCCTTATTTCTGCCGGAGGACCGAGGAGCAAGGAGCGATAATGGAGGAGCGATAATGGAGGAGCTATAACCGAGGAACCACCAGACCATCCTTCGATGAAATCCTCAGATACTCACCCCGCCCCCTTACTGTGTATCGCTCACTGATTGGACGATGCAGCGCATGCACTGATCTCATGCTTCTTGACATGAGAGCAGTTTCCCAGCGGAGTGAAGAAAACACATGAACCTCACGGGACTCACTCCTCAGTTTAAACTGTGTTTTGTTTCAATTAATATTTCATTTAGTTACAAATATGTGATATATCTGAACAACAAAGTGGTCAAAAATCATTTTATTCATTTGTTGGAAACATTTTCATGATCGCTTTTTTCGTTTTACATTTTCATTTATTGTCATTTCCATTCAGTCAATCATTAAGTGCTATTTAAAATGTTAATGTGCTACATATCCAATATATATATATACAAGTGAGAAGGACCCCTAGACTACTGCAACTCCCTCCTGGCTGGTCTACCTGCATGTGCAATCCGACCTCTGCAGCTCATCCAGAATGCAGCGGCTCGTCTGGTCTTCAACCTTCCTAAATTCTCCCACACCACGCCGCTCCTCCGCTCCCTTCACTGGCTTCCGGTAACTGCTAGAATCCACTTCAAGACAATGGTACTTGCGTACTATGCTGCGAATGGATCTGGCCCTTCCTACATCCAGGACATGGTTAAACTGTACACCCCAGCACGTGCACTACGCTCTGCATCTGTCACGATCTGTCTTTATGGTGTTTTGTCTTGTCTTGTTTCATGTTTTATGTTGAAAGGTCTTCACTTCCTGTCTTGCCTGTTTCTGTCTGCGTTGTGTCTTGTTTAAATCTGTCTGTGGTTCCCGGCCGTTAGTTTCCCGTGGGTCTAATTTACCCGATTCTGTTCACCTGGTGTCCCTGTGTTTTCTCCTCCCTCCTCACCTCTGTCTTGTTTCTGTGATTAGTCTTGTGTGTATTTAAGTTCTGGTTTTTCTGTCTGTCTTTGTCGGTTCGTCTTCTGTCATGACTAGTTCGTCGGTGAGTGTTCTGTTTTGTCTTTGTTATCACCTAGCCTTGAAATAAAGGAACTTTCACTTTAATCTGCATTTGGGTCCTACCTGCTTCACACACCGTGACAGAACGAACCGACCACAAAATGGACCCAGCAGATGATCCATGGGAGGTTGAATTACAGCATTTAACCTTCTATCTGGCTTGCTGCTTCGATTGGTGGAAGGGAGCGTCCAGTGTTCGGCAGAAGAGGGCCGCTCTGGTAGAGGCGCTCCGGTTGGCAGCAGAGAAACCATGTTTTGTTGAGTTTTTACCTGACTGGATTTTGGACTTCCTTCAAGCATGTGATTCCAGGCATGCTAGCTCCCTGTCTCCCAATTCCCAACCTGGCACCATACGCCTTGGTGGGTTCCGCCTGAAGTCAACCCGTGCTTCTGCCCCAGTTCCTGCTCCTGTCCAGGAGTCGTATTCTGGAACTCGTCAGGCTTATGGAGGTCCACGGAGTGTTCAGGAGGCTGCTAAGAGGAGTCGTCGCAAGGCCAGGCAAGCAGCCCGAGCCCCAGCAGCCATGGTTCCGGCTCCAGTACAGGCCCCAACAGCCATGGTTCCGGCTCCAGTGCCGGACCCAGCAGCCATGGTTCCATGCTCCAGTACCATCCCACATAGCCATGGTACCGTGCTCCAGTACCACCCCACACAGCCATGGATCCGTGTTCCGGTTCCTTGCCCAGCAGCCATGGTTCCGGCTCCAGTGCCGGCCCCAGCAGCAATGTTTCCGGCTCCAAAACCGGCCCACACAGCCATGATCCAGGCTTCAGCTCCGGACCTTACAGCCATGTTTCCGGCTCCAGAACTGGATCTTACAACCATGGTCCCTGCACCAAAGCTGGCCCATACAGCCATGGTTCCGGCCCCAGTTCCAGCCATGATTCTGGCTCAAGTACCGGGCCCAGCAGCCATGGTTCCGGCCCCAGTTCAAGCCATGGTTCCCGCTCAAGTACCGGCTCCAGCAGTCATGGTCCCGACTCCAGCACCTCGTCTCCTGTTGGCTCTCCAGCCAACACCAGCTCCCCGAGTCTTGTCGGCGTACCGGCCGACTCCAGCACCTCGTCTCCTGCTGGCTCCTCAGCCGACGCCATCTCCCCGAGTCTTGTCGGCGTACCGGCCGACTCCAGCACCTCGTCTCCTGCTGGCTCCCCAGACGACGCCAGCTCCCCGTGTCCTGTCGGCGTACCGACCGACACAAGTTCCCTCTCGGGTACCTTCTCGAGTCCCCTCTCAAGTCCCCTCTCCAGTTCCCTCTCCAGTTACTTCTCGAGTCCCCTCTCAAGTCCCTTCTCCAGTTCCCTCTCAAGTCTCCTCTCCAGTTCCCTCTCCAGTTCCCTCTCAGGTCCCCTCTCGAGTCCCTTCTCTAGTCCCCTCTCTAGTCACCTCTCAAGTTCCTACCCGAGTCCCCTCTCGAGTCCCCTCTCGAGTTCCATCTCGAGTTCCCTCCTCTAGTCCCTCCTTAGTCCCCTCTCTAGTCCCTCCTCTAGTTCCCCTCGCGAGTCCCCTCTCGAGTTCCGTTCTCTAGTTCCTCCTCTAGTCCCTCCTTTAGTCCCCTCTCGAGTCCCCTCTCGAGTCCCCTCTCTAGTTCCCCTCTCGAGTCTCCTCTCGAGTCCCCTCTCGAGTTCCCCCTTGGTTCCCCTCTCGAGTCTCCTCTCGAGTCCCCTCTCGAGTCACGTCTCAAGTCCCTACCCAATGTCCTGGTCCGTTGGAGGTTCCGCTGGGGGTCCTGCCAACTCCATGTCCTGTCCCGTTGGAGGCCCCGTCGACTACTCCTCTGCCGGGGGTCCTACCAATCGTATGTCTGTCCCGTTGGAGGTCCCGCCGTCTACTCTCCTGCCGGGGGTCCTGCCAGCTCTTTGTCCTGTCTCGTTGGAGGTCCCGCCGACTACTCTCCTGCCGGGGGTCCTGCCAACCCTTTGTCCTGTGCCGTTGGAGGCCCCGCCGACTACTCTCCTGCCGGGGGTCCTGCCAACCCTTTGTCCTGTGCCGTTGGAGGCCCCGCCGACTACTCTCCTGCCGGGGGTCCTGCCAACCCTTTGTCCTGTGCCGTTGGAGGCCCCGCCGACTACTCTCCTGCCGGGGGTCCTGCCAACCCTTTGTCCTGTGCCATTGGAGGCCCCGCCGACTACTCTCCTGCCGGGGGTCCTGCCAACCCTTTGTCCTGTGCCGTTGGAGGCCCCGCCGACTACTCTCCTGCCGGGGGTCCTGCCAACCCTTTGTCCTGTGCCGTTGGAGGCCCCGCCGACTACTCTCCTGCCGGGGGTCCTGCCAACCCTTTGTCCTGTTCCGTTGGAGGCCCCGCCATCCTCTGTCTCACCGGGGGTCCTGCCAATCCCGTGTCCTGGTCCTCTTCCGTGGGGGATCCTGCCGAGGCCTGTCCCACCAGCTCCGGTTCCTGTCCGGCCGACACTGGGTCCTGCCCGGCCTCCGGCGCTGGCCCGTCAGCGCCTTCCTGCCTGGCCTCCGGAGCTCTCTGTTCTTCGCCCTCGAGCCCGGCCCCCTGAGAGCCGCGGTCTTCGCCCTCGATCCCGGCCCTCTGTGAGCCGTGGTCTTCGCCCTCGAGCCCAGCCCCCTGAGAGCCGCGGTCTTCGTCCTCGATCCCGGCCCTCTGTGAGCCGTGGTCTTCGCCCGCGAGCCCGGCCCCCTGACTCTTCCTGCCGCTGCCCTCGTCCTCGAGCCCGGCCCCCTGACTCTTCCTGCCGCTGCCTTCGCCCTCATGCTCGGCCGCCCGAGTCCCCCACCTTAGACTCTGCCTTGCCCCCGGGCCGTCCGCCCGAATCCCCCTTTTTGAACTCTGCCTTGCCCCCGGGCCGTCCGCCCGAGAACCCCTTCTTGAACTCTGCCTTGCCCCCGGGCCGTCCGCCCGAGATCCCTTCCTGGTCCTCTGCTGTGCTCCTGGGCGGTCAGCTCAGTCCCGTCCTCCTGACCCCCTCCACCCACCCTGGTGGCCTAGTGATACGGGGGAGCTATTGGAGTGGGGGGGTAGTCCGGTGCCTTGCTCAAGGGCACCACGGCAGGGGCCAGGAGGTGAACTGGGACCTCTCCAAGTAGCAGTCCACACTCCATTTTTAGGTCTGGTCGGGGACTTGAACCGGCAACCCTACGGCTCACAGTCCAAGCCCCTACTGACTGAGACACTGTGTTTAAACAGCAGCTGCTTTAAAGGATAAGAGGGACGGTGAAACCGTAATGAACTACACCCGTTATCATGGAGCGGGAACTTTTTCCAATCCTCACATTCCTGTGTTCTCGGAGGTCCCCTGCTGCGCTCTGCTTTCTATTAAAGGTCCCATGTCATGGCCATTTCTACTGATCATAATTCCACTGTTGAGGTCTACTAGAATAGATTTACATTGTTCAATGTTCCAAACTCACATTGGTTTCTCATACAGCATCTCTGTATAGTATGTGTATTCACTCTCTGTCCTACACGCCTTGTTGGAGCTCCTGCACCCCCTCCCTGTGAGCCCACTGTGCTCTGATGTGTGTTTATGTGTTACAATGGCGTTTGTTAGCAACCAGAAAATGACACCAGTAATGACAAACAGATGAGAATGCTGCGTGGGGTCTGGGTGGCGTGTTGGTGGGACGTTGCGGAGCTCGCTGCTGCGAGGAGCAGACAGTGTGAGCTGGATTACTGGTGTTGTTTCCTGGCTGCTGCGTGGGGTCTGCGAGACAGACACAGCAAAACCCGGTCCGAACCCCGCCCGAGCACACACACACACACCCGCGTCCCGCGGGACCCCTAGATTCCACCGGGTCCGTCTGCTCCGTGTTACGGCTGCGCCGCGGCGTTCACAGTGATCGCAGGCACTCTAGACCAGTGTTTCTCAAACTTTTTCACACCAAGGACCACTTAACCAATAAAATAACACTCGCGGACCACCTAACTCCACAAATATCCAAAATCGCATCGTTTTTCTAGAACAGATTACAAATCGCCTGAAAATGGTACAAACAAGTGGCAGCAGGTGTGATGAAGGTGTTGCGCTGGGCTATATCATACCATCGAAAGTGAAACTTAACCTCGCTCCATTGCGGAGATATTCCCGCGAGAGTGCGGAAAACTCAAATGTATTTATTTATTTCAAATGTGAAATGTTACCAATATACTCGCGGACCACTAGGGGGCGCTCACGGACCACCAGTGGTCCGCGGACCACACTTTGAGAAGCACTGCTCTAGACAATGGGTGCTATTCCACCAGACGCGCCGCGTTACGGCTAGCGTAACTAGCGTCCCAGAAGCGTCCCAGAAGCGTCTCGGAGCTGGGCTCCGCTCAAAATAGGATGCAAGTCTATTTTCGATGCGAGGCGTTCCATAGCGCCGGGCAGGAAGTGGACCGGTCAGAGCATCCGGCCCATCCCCTAAATAAACTAATTTTGCAGACCCTATCCCTCCGTAGTCTTTCAAGTAGGAGGAGAAATGCCAGCGTTCTCCTCCGGTTTACAGGCACTGTGTAAATTATATATATATAATAATTATAATGATGAATGCAATTTTTTACCACTAAAATACAGCAACACATTTTTGATTCATGTCGTTTATAACTGGAATATTACAAGTATTATTAACTTTGTCTGATCTAATATGAGGGACATTGAGGACAAATCACTGAAAACATTTACTCTGATTTAGCAGGTGTTTAATAGTCCTTTAAATGTGTTTTATGCTGCTTTGTTAACTATATTACACAAGTCAACAGGAAGATAGTGAGAGTGACAATGGAGAGGGTGAAGGGGATGAGGTGCAGTGAGCAGGACAATGCAGTAACACATACAGGAAGTTATATTAACAGTGTCATTGTGCATTTTCTAAGAGTAGAAGGCTGGCAAATTATATATTTCTCTTATTGGCATCAAACCCTATAAAAAAGATCTAAACCAACACCGTGTCAGTCTGTCTATTAATACTTCCCGAGCCCATTTATGAATGGGAGTACATCTGGAAAGGGAGCATTGAGTGTTAACAGTGAGGTGTTTACCTGAAATATGAATATCTGGAGGGCAGATGTCCGGGGACGCAGAGGACACCGGGGCCGGCTCCTCTGCACACATCTGCTCAAGACGGATGCAAAATGAATGACAAACAAAAGTTGATACAAAGATTTCCAAAAGTAAGGCAGGATGTCCCTACAACTCAAGTTAAAATGACCAGCTGGAAATTATAAGGTCATACACCTGATCCTGTGGAGTGTGCTCATAATAATTCTCAGAACTTAACAAACCCCTTATTAATAGCTTAAACTTGCATTTACATGTGGTTATGAACTTCAAGTTCCATACAGAAACCTTTCTTAGTTGCAAAATATTATTGATATGTTCTTTAAATTGTGAATGATTCATTAGAGCAAACTGTAGGATGTTCACATGGCACAGCACGGATGTGATTGACCAGCTGCATTTTGGATGTCCTATGGCAATAGTGAATAGATAGATTCAATACAATTCTTAGTCGAAATCCTAAGCAACCTTAGCCAATAGCAGTAGGTGTTGTTGAAACACTGCAAAACAGTGATTGGTCAGAGAACTATCACCGGACTGTACATCCTAACTTGAAATGTTTAGAAAGACTACCTTTGTTTTGTAATGAAAACACCGCACATTACGCAGAGCACTACTGTACACTGTTCCTATCATTTGACAATTGACAATGTGCAGCTTCACTGGGAAATACTGCTCCTGCTACTTCATATTTGTTGCTATAGTATTCTGGAAACAGTATTTCTTAGTCCTAGACATATTCTGGTATGTTTCTGATGACTGAAACTAAGCATGGCTGACCTCAGGAGATCTGATGTGGACTTTTAAGTGTCCAGAGTTGTAGCTGTTGCCTGCAGCCCGCTGCACCCCGTTGTGGAGAGACGCGCTGCTCGGAAAAAGTCCTTTCCCTGGGATGAAGGCGATCTCCACAGCACTGTCTGGGCTGGAGACACAATTCAAACAAGACATTGTCAGCAACACAGAGCAAAGAGAGATGACTGTGTATTGCTGACTAATCCCCACTGTGATCCCCGTCTCCACAGAGACTCACAGATGTTACTCCCTTTTAGACCAAATTCCAAACCGGCCCCTACCCACTCCCCCTCCGTGATGGAATGAACTCCGTCTGTCGTCACTCTCACAGCTAAACAAGGCTTCATCCCTACAGGTGGGGGTGTAAATACAGCGGCCCCCCCCCTCTCCGTCAGAAACAGGAAATGCCATTTCCTTTTTGTTAAAATCCATTAGTTTAAACAATCGGATGTTTATAAGCTACTTGGTTTTTTGCAAAAGTCTGTAAATGTTTGCACAGAACTTTTAATAATAATAATACTAATAATAATAAATGTTATTTGTAAAGCACCTTTCATTGCTAAAAGCAATCCCATACAAGAGGCGTGAAAGAAAGAAACTTTTTTTTAAAGAGAGGATTTTAGGAATTTCTTAAAGGAGTCAGTGGTCTGTGGAGTCCTCAGGTGGTCTGTGGAGTCCTCAGGTGGTCTGTGGAGTCCTCAGGTGGTCTGTGGAGTCTTCAGGTGGTCTGTGGAGTCCTCAGGTGGGATGTGGAGTCCTCAAGTGGTCTGTGGAGTCCTCAAGTGGTCTGTGGAGTCCTCATGTAGGCTGTGGAGTCCTCAGGTGGGCTGTGGTGTCCTAGAGTCCTCAGATGGTCTGTGGAGTCCTCAGGTGGGCTGTGGAGTCCTCAAGTGGTCTGTGGAGTCCTCAAGTAGTCTGTGGAGTCCTCAAGTGGTCTGTGGAGTCCTCATGTGGGCTGTGGAGTCCTCAGGTGGTCTGTGGAGTCCTCAGGTGGTCTATGGAGTCCTCAAGTGGTCTGTGGAGTCCTCAGGTGGGCTGTGGAGTTCTCAAGTGGTCTGTGGAGTCCTCAGGTGGTCTGTGGAGTCCTCAGGTGGTCTGTGGAGTCCTCAAGTGGTCTGTGGAGTCCTCAGGTGGTCTGTGGAGTCCTCAGGTGGGCTGTGGAGTCCTCAGGTGGTCTGTGGAGGCCTCAGGTGGGCTGTGGTGTCCTGGAGTCCTCAGGTGGTCTGTGGAGTCCTCAGGTGGTCTGTGGAGTCCTCAGGTGAGGAGCAGCTGCACAGAAAGCCAGATCCCCCATGTTGTACACAGTGTGTTTCATTAGGGACACAAACACTGTTGGGTCAGTCAGGTAGGGCTTGGTAACACACTCCCCCTCCCCGCTTGTTGCTTTCGAACGGCACTTAATGTGGCGGACTCTCCAATCAAACGTGCAAACTGAATGGAAGTGTGTAGGGGCGGTTTGTAACTGGGCCAGAGTTACTGAATGAACAATAAATGTACAAGGCCCACCCACCTGGATTTGACTTTGTTCAGCATGCTCTTCGCCTCCTCGTGGGTCACACCTATCAAGGACTCCTTGTTCACAGCAATGAGCTGATCTCCAGGCCGCAGACGTCCATCCTGCAACACACACAGAGCCTTCAGACTGAAGAACCTCCCCTCTCCACTTGATGTGTTAAAGAGGATTGCTTATTCCCCTCTAAGTATGCTCACTGGGCTTGATGTGTATGAGACAATTCATCTTGTAACTCTGGTTTGAACCATGGCATGTTAAGACCATTTTTCATGGCAGACAACTTGCCTCATGTCCGCCTAAAACCCTTTGAATATGCATGACACAGTTTGAGCCTATTAAATGTATAATCTTGGAGCTAATGCAAATATTGAACTCTCCTCTAATCTGAGGATGTTCCTTACAAGCCCAGAAAACTACAGTTATTAAACCACTCTCAACTTGAAGAGACACATGACTATGTGCATTAACAGACCCATATCAAACCTCAATAAAAAACATTATTTTATATATATTTCCCCTCTTAACCCTTGACCCTGTTAATGTGTAAAATGTCATCCTCTGAAACAGTCTTGGAATTATTGGATGTCAGAGTTGCATTCGACCAAAACTGCTCTGACACGATGATAAATACATTATATGTGGTGTTCCTCTTTGGGTCAACATCTACACGACCCACAAGCGCATATTATATAAAGACCCCAAAAGTCTTACCATAATAATGCAGAGGATAACAGAAATGTATAACGATACCAGCAGGTGACTGTGGTCCGATCCAAACCCTGAGTAGCATTGAACAGACATGTTCTCCCATGTAAGCAGGGTTTGCCACCATATAGCAACTAGAGTTCTGATAACACATAGTTCCCCAGCTGACTCATCCTATACAGGAAATCAAAGAGCATGACATGCTAGCCTGCTTCCTATATGACACAGAGGATTAGAGCTGGGATTTAGAGGACATTGACAACCTGCTTCCATAAGCAGAAGACTGAGAGACTGAACAGAGCCAGGCATTATTTACAGTGTTGCGTGAGGAAGAGACTTTCTGACATACAGTCCAGCATGCTTTACTGTGCCCGTCTCTGATGCAGTTGACTGCAGTAATGCTACCCTGTCCCATTCACCATCTGTTATTGGGGATTTAGATTCCAGAGGCGTGCGTGAAGCACATGGACCAAAAGAAACGTCATGCATGCATCCATGATGCTCTGCAGCTCCACCGCGGGAAATCTGGATTAATGCAATGACTTATTGGCGTTTGAAATGGGTTTGTTTGTGTCTGAACCCTATATGCATGTGAACAATGGTGAATGTGTAAGAGTTATGTCCAATATTCAATTAAATTACTGGTAAACTGCCCCCCCCCCCCCTGACAGCAACATACTTCACGTGTGATGTGTCCCTGATGCTTTGTTCGGTATTAGCCACACTATTGCAGGCTGGGCCATTATCACTCTGATATCTTGAACATGTTCTTAACTGTGCCTTCATGAGAAAAAGTCAACCAAGTTATGCTTAAAAAAAACACACATTTTGCCATCTCTACGACATAATGTCATTCGTGTTGTATGTCTGTCAGGGCCGGCCCTGATGTCTGTGTCATGTTAACGAAGGATTCTATCCTCCATGTAAGCACACAACATGTGTGATTACACCTTGGACATGTTATTCTAAAGTACTTCTTTCTTTGATATGCAAATCAGAACTCAGACAGAGGACAACATACAGTCCTTTGAATGGAAAATAATAACCAAGACACGTCAAACACAACAAAACGATACCACGTTTTAAGAGAACAAAAACAAGTATTCTGGTTCAGAAGATTCCAACATTGGCTCAGTTTTGGAATGGGAGGAATCTGTTGTTGAAATACTTATATTTGGGATAGGACTATATAACGGTAAGATGGATGTGGCTTTCAGATGCAACCTAAAATGAAAATAAATATATACAAATAGAACAGCTAAGGCCAAAATTCCTTCATAATTCATAATCATATAAAAGTCTTTTTAAATCTTGCACCAAAAGGTACAAACCAGTGCTCAAAGTAGTGTCCACAGGGATCATGGGATATCTTGTTAGCTCCGAGGCGCTTTCTTTCATTTACTCCCTGGCATCTTGAATAAAAAGGATTTCAAATCTTGCAGGGTACAAGAAGCAACAACTGCTTTGAAACAGCCTTCTTCCAGAACACATACAGCAGTGATGTTCCAGTGTTCTCTTGTCATGTTGCCACAGCTGACGGAGAGTGGGCGCACAGAGGCGAGGAGGATGGGATTGGGAAGGGAGAAGCTGAGGAAGCCGGAGAGAAAGAGAGAAGGAAGCTGTATGTGCAAATTGAGTGGGGGGAGGGTGCTGCGAGTCCACCTATAGTTGTGATTGTTGGCTCTAATTCAACATCGAATCGGGATTTAATGTAAAGACCCCCACAGATTGAAGAGACTGATGGTTTAGGGGAGAAACATATGTCGAAAAGTTCAACATTCACATCAGAGCATTACATTTGGAGGAACGCAGACCTGACCAACACTGACTCCAAAGACTCCGACATGGTGGAGGGTGACCCTGCACGTCTGCAGAGTCAGTCAGAGGTCTCAGTGTTTACACCTGCAGGAACATGACCGCACATTTCTAATCTGCTGGCAGCCCAGCAGCTGACGAGCATTCAGACTCTGCCACTGCATGTTTAGGATTAGTAGTATTTCAATATGAATGAGCCATGATGATGTGTAAATGGCGATCAGCCAATGCACCAGAGACTGCGCTCCACCAGAACTAGCACTATGCTCAATGAATGACAGCCAAAATAATAACAACAACAAAGTTAACGTTGCAGTAACTGGATTCATCATTTATCAGCTGTCAGTTAACTGATCTCACGGTTCATTTATGGTACAGCTCCGTCAGTCTGACAACTGGAGTGTGCTGAGGAAGCCTTCCTGTTCACCTCTCTGTGGATCTCTGGCCTCCAGCAGATAAAGAGGTGTGTTCCCTTTGTTCCCTGAGACTCTGCAGCCACACAGAGCTCTTCCATCACCATCAACAGTAGCTTCCTGTCAGCATAGATGGAACATTCACCTCCTCCCTCACATGCTTGCAGCAGTGCACTGTGTGGAGGACAGGCTGACCTCACACTGGTGTCCAGTGTCTGTCCTGGGACTCCTCTCACAGAGCGGCAGTGGCACTGAGACAGCCAGTGTTTCACATTCTTTAGTCCAGCATGAATTCCTTCAAGAGGATTCAATGAATGATCAGGATTGTTATGTCTGTCACCTCATGGGTACTGTCTTTAGTCAAGGGGACATAAGACAACAAAGAATCATGTGTTTTAGGGGAAAACAAAGAAACAGTTTTGGAAAAGGGCACTTTGATGTTTTTTGCATAATTATATATTTACCACTGATAACTCATTTCCAGACGTGCTCAACAACTTGTATGCTCGTTGTGATTGGAACAATAAAACATCAGCCATCACAGCAACCCCCCCACCAAAAGAACAGAACATCAGACCATGCTGTTCAATCTGCACTCGGCAGGGTGAGTGCTGAAGGCTGGTGGCCCAGATGGCATATCATGGTGTGCTCAAGGCATGTGCTGTCCCTGAGGTAGAACCTTCAAATTCCTCGGCATCAACATCTCTGATGATCTCTCCTGGTCTTTCAACACCTCCAGCCTTGTTAAACGGCACAAGAACGCCTGATCAAGAAAGCCCCCCCTGCCTGCACCATCCAGAGCATTATCACCAGCTGAGTCTCGGTGTGGTGTGGCAGCTGCTCTGTAGCTGACAGAAGGACCTGCAGCTGGGGGTAAGAACGGCTCAACACATCATCGGTGTCCCACTACCTGCCATCGCTGACCTCCAGCCCCAACTGTGTCTGTGACGTGCCCCCAGCCTCATCAAAGACCCTTTACATCCAGCCTTAGCTCCAGCAGGCTCAGGAACAGTCCTGGTTCTAGGATGGGTTCAAAGCAGAGACCAAATGTCACTGTGTGTGCTGTGCGCATGTATGTGTGTCAAATAAAGAGACTTTCATCTTCCGATTCCCACAATATCATAACCCTCCTGAATTCTCACTCAGAGCCAGCCCGGCTCCCCCTCCCCTTTGAATGTCATGGCTCCACCCGACAGCGCCTCACACTCAGGGACCTTTAACTCCTTGTTTACGATGTCTGTATTTCATATTTATTACATCTGTATTTAATATTCATAACAACTGTATTTAACCTATATATTCCTAAACCCCACACCGTATATGTATATGCTCTAAATCTGCACCTTATCTGAAGATATGTATTCATATTTATACATGTAAGTACATTACTACAACATTGTATGCTATGTGAGTACAGTATTTTATGCTAATCTAAGGCCTACGCCCAAACATGCACTCTTCACTTCCTGCTCCACCTGTGTCCCTCCTCTTCCTTCCTCCATCTTCGTTACTTAATTTCCCTACAAGCAGTCCCTCACTGCTGCACTGAATCCATCTCACTCAGTTCTTATCGTCGTAGTCCTCTAGTCAGGGCTCATGGGAGACACTGAAGTCAAATAACAGTATGATTTATTCTGTTGTTAACATATTGTAGGGGAATTTGTGTATCTAATGTAAGACCTACAATCCTCATGCACTTCAACCAATTGGAATGTGGCGGGTGCCTTGGACAAAATCAAGGACATTTCAGTCAGACGTTGGGATCAACGTGATCAGTGTGAACATGTCTTATTATTGGGTAAGTAAGAAGGCATTTGCTAATGATAAAGTGTAGATACTATCAATGTTGGAAGAAGTACTCAGAAAGTACCAATACTATGGTCTTAAAATACTCCACCACATGTAAAAGCCGTAGTTTTGAAATGCTACTTCAGTGAAAGTACAAAACTAATAGCGTCAAAATATACTTAAAGCACAAAAAGTAAAAGTACTCATTCTGTATCCTGACCCGTTTCAGAATAATATGAAGAACAGAAGTATGATCCGCTAAATGTACTTCAAGAATCAACAGTGACAGTACTTGTTGCAGAATGGATCTTTTCACAGTATGGTTCATTTTGGTTATAATATTGGTTTTTATACATGTAAGAACATTTTAGTTGTAGGTCAGTAATTATTGTTTTTGCTCAATGTGGTCCTAAATTCAGATACTGTGTAGATTAGTAGTGCGGTACTGCACTGTACTATATCAGCATATACTGTATGTGTAATTATGTACAAAGTAACTAGTAACTGAGAGTTTTACAAATAAATGTAGTGGAGTAATAAGTACGATATGCAACTCTGAAATGTAGGGAATAGAAGTATAAAGTAGCATTAAATGGAAATACTTAACTAAAGTAAAAATATGTCAACAAAGTACTTAAGTGCAGTACTTGAGTACATGTACTTAGTTACTTTACATCACTGATGTTAGTATGGCTCTGAGCGATATAGTTCCCTTGGTTACACCTTCCATGTTCCCTCTCAACATCTGCAGTTGAGGTTTGATTCCCTCTCTCACCCGGTGACAGTCTCCCCCCGACAGCACCTCCTGGATGAAGACCGCGGGGGCCGTCAGGTTTGTTGGAGCCTCCCCCGATGGTGATGCCCAAACTGCTGGATCGCGCCACTGAGATGAGCTGGATCACTCCTTCACCTGGATGACTGGGTGACACATGGACAGAGTGATTCATGACTTAAAGGTGGGGTAGGCCTATGTCATTTATTTCAGAAACACTTGTTATATTCCATGGAATGCTCTAAAAAATCCATAAAAAAGGTCATCTGTGGAAGCCGTGGCGCTGTAAAAAGCACGACCAATCATCTGAGCCGGCCCGGCTAAAGTAACTGGATGGCCTACCTGCCTGTCAGCCTTCCATCTGTGCACAAACTTATCTCGTGCCCTCATTGGTCATGTGCGCGTTCGTGTGTGTTGGAGGAAGTGGCAGATTTTTTCCGGCTGTGTATTTTCAAATTCTAGCGCACTCGAGCTGGTTTCTCCAAAATGACCTACCCCACCTTTAAGTCAAAATAGCCATACTACAGTGTAGTAAAAAGTACAAAAAGTAAAAAAGTGCTAGCAATAAATAGTACCAACAATAAAATAACTTGTTACACAAAATGGCCATTTTAAGCATCCAGATATTTTTAGATAATTGTATAAAAATGATTGGTGCATTCATGTGTTCATCCCATACTAATACAATATCATTTGAGTTGATTTATATGTTGTACTAATCTCCTAAATCTGCAAAGTAACTACAAACTAAATATGTAAAAAAAACACGTAGTGGAGTAGAAGTATAAAGTAGCATAATGTAAAAACACTCAATTACCTACGTACGTATTTTACTTAAGTAGAGAACTAGAATAAATGTTCTGAGTTACATTACCCCACTGAACAGGTGTGTGTGTGTGCTGTACAGGTGTGTGTGTGTGTGTGTGTGTGTGTGTGTGTGTGTGTGTGCTGTACAGGTGTGTGTGTGTGCATGTGTGTGCGTGTGTGTGTGCTGTACAGGTGTGTGTGGGTGCTGTGCAGGTGTGTGTGGGTGCTGTACAGGTGTGTGTGTGGGGTGCTGTACAGGTGTGTGTGGGTGCTGTACAGGTGTGTGTGGGTGCTGTACAGGTGTGTGGGTGCTGTACAGGTGTGTGTGTGTGTGCTGTACAGGTGTGTGGATGCTGTACAGGTGTGTGTGTGCTGTACAGGTTTGTGGGTGCTGTACAGGTGCGTGTGGGTGCTGTACAGGTGTGTGGGTGCTGTACAGGTGCGTGTGGGTGCTGTACAGGTGTGTGGGTGCTGTACAGGTGTTTTGGTGCTGTACAGGTGTGTGTGTGCGTGCTGTACAGGTGTGTGTGTGCTGTACAGGCGTGTGGGTGCTGTACAGGTGTGTGGGTGCTGTACAGGTGTGTGTGTGCTGTACAGGTGTGTGTGTGCTGTACAGGTGTGTGGGTGCTGTACAGGTGTGTGTGTGCTGTACAGGTGTTTTGGTGCTGTACAGGTGTGTGTGCGTGCTGTACAGGTGTGTGTGTGCTGTACAGGTGTGTGGGTGCTTGTACAGGGTGTGTGTGTGCTGTACAGGTGTGTGTGTGCTGTACAGGTGTGTGTGTGCTGTACAGGTGTGTGGGTGCTGTACAGGTGGGTGTGGTGCTGTACAGGTGTGTGTGTGCTGTACAGGTGTGTGGGTGGATGTACAGGGTGTGTGTGTGCGCTGTGCAGGTGTGTGGGGTGCTGTACAGGTGTGTGTGTGCTGTACAGGTGTGTGGGTGCTGTACAGGTGTGTGTGGGTGCTGTGCAGGTGTGTGTGTGTGTGATGTACAGGTGTGTGTGGGTGCAGGTGTGTGTGTGCTGTTCAGGTGTGTGTGGGTGCAAGTGTGTGTGTGCTGTACAGGTGTGTGTGGGTGCAGGTGTGTGTGTGCTGTTCAGGTGTGTGTGGGTGCAGGTGTGTGTGTGCTGTACAGGTGTGTGTGTGTGGGTGTTGTGCAGGTGTGTGTGGGTGCTGTACAGGTGTGTGTGGGTGCTGTGCAGGTGTGTGTGTGTGCTGTACAGGTGTGTGTGTGGGTGCTGTGCAGGTGTGTGTGGGTGCTGTACAGGTGTGTGTGTGTGTGTGTGTGTGTGTGTGTGTGTGTGTGTGTGTGTGTGTGTGTGTGTGTGTGTGTGTGTGGTGTGTGTGTGTGTGTGTGTGTGTGTGTGTTGTGTGTGTGTGTGTGTGTGTGCGGGGGGGTGCTGTACAGGTGTGTGGGTGCTGTACAGGTGTGTGTGGGTGCTACAGACTGACGGTACCTGAGGGAGCGCAACATGGGCCCGCTGCTGTTGTACATGTTCTGAGTGCCAGCTGGGCTCAGCAGCAAAGGACTCTGGGAGCGAGACGAGGAGCCAGAGGAAGTGCTCTCCAGGTAGCGGCCTCCTTTGGAAATGCAAGAAAGAAGAAACACAGAAAAAATAGTGAGTGAGTTTTTGTCCTTCAACCTGTGCTCTGCAGGGTGCTAAAAAACTACAATTGTCAAAGTAATAAAAAAGATGGCTTTAAATATCTATCTCAATAATTATCTATTACTTATTGGACACATAATAATTTAGATGATGGATTGTAAACAACATGATGGTCTTGGTCTGGATATGTGTTCTATAAGGTTATTCAAGTATGGATAACACTATTTGCAGATAGCAGACAACATGCTCTGAACTACTAAACATTCCCTGTGCTGAGATTCAAGGGTCTGTTTCATTATGGGAGGTGATTCATGCTGAAACTCGGTAGTAAACAAGATGTCATGGATCCTTAGAGAAATAGAGATGAAAATACTTTTTTTCTAAGTGTTAACACACAGAGCTCTTGCTTCTAGGCAGTAAAACAGTGTGAAGCAAAGCATGGATTGATCAGATGTATCGTCACACATGGAAAAAGCACTACTGCACACACTGGGAGATTTAGACTCTGAATGGAACATCCTGGTATAAGGAGCAGTGGGAAGCTACTAGCTACATACAGCAGAGTGGGGGTCCGTCACCTTGCGGCATTGCTCAAGAGCCCCTCAGCAAAACAAACAAACAAAACTCTTGAATTGAAACCATAACTAAAGTAGGAGTATTTAAGTTGTCTCAGTAAAAATCACTTTGTGAATCAAAAGATAAAGTACTCAGTATGCAGAAATGCTATTTTCTTCATATCATTTTAATTTTGTAGTTTTTTTAATGTTTGGCACATTTTAGATATGTTTTAAAATACTGAGAGTGACACTAATGCATCACATCATGTGTTTACATATGTACAAAGCACTACATGGAGGACTGAACTACTGCCCCCCAAAGCACTACATGGAGGACTGAACTACTGCCCCCCAAAGCACTACATGGAGGACTGAACTACTGCCCCCCAAAGCACTACATGGAGGACTGAACTACTGTCCCCCCAAGCACTACATGGAGGTCTGAACTACTGCCCCCCAAAGCACTACATGGAGGACTGAACTACTGCCCCCCAAAGCACTACATGGAGGACTGAACTACTGCCCCCCAAAGCACTACATGGAGGACTGAACTACTGCCCCCCAAAGCACTACATGGAGGACTGAACTACTGCCCCCCCAAAGCACTACATGGAGGACTGAACTACTGTCCCCCCAAAGCACTACATGGAGGTCTGAACTACTGCCCCCCAAAGCACTACATGGAGGACTGAACTACTGCCCCCCAAAGCACTACATGGAGGACTGAACTACTGCCCCCCCAAAGCACTACATGGAGGACTGAACTACTGCCCCCCAAAGCACTACATGGAGGACTGAACTACTGCCCCCCCAAAGCACTACATGGAGGACTGAACTACTGCCCCCCCTAAAGCACTACATGGAGGACTGAACTACTGCTCCCCCAAAGCACTACATGGAGGACTGAACTACTTCCCCCCCTAAAGCACTACATGGAGGACTGAACTACTGCCCCCCCAAAGCACTACATGGAGGACTGAACTACTTCCCCCCCTAAAGCACTACATGGAGGACTGAAGTACTTCCTCCCCAAAGCACTAGATGGAGGACTGAACTACTGCCCCCCCCAAAGCACTACATGGAGGACTGAACTACTTCCCCCCCAAGCACTAGATGGAGGACTGAACTACTGCCCCCCCAAAGCACTAGATGGAGGACTGAACTACTGTCCCCCCAAAGCACTACATGGAGGACTGAACTACTTCCCCCCCTAAAGCACTACATGGAGGACTGAACTACTGCCCCCCCAAAGCACTACATGGAGGACTGAACTACTTCCCCCCCTAAAGCACTACATGGAGGACTGAAGTACTTCCTCCCCAAAGCACTAGATGGAGGACTGAACTACTGCCCCCCCAAAGCACTACATGGAGGACTGAACTACTTCCCCCCCAAAGCACTAGATGGAGGACTGAACTACTGCCCCCCCAAAGCACTACATGGAGGACTGAACTACTGCCCCCCCAAAGCACTACATGGAGGACTGAACTACTGCCCCCCCAAAGCACTAGATGGAGGACTGAACTACTGCCCCCCCAAAGCACTACATGGAGGACTGAACCACTGCCCCCCCAAAGCACTACATGGAGGACTGAACTACTTCCCCCCCCCCAAAGCACTACATGGAGGACTGAACTACTGCCCCCCCAAAGCACTACATGGAGGACTGAACTACTGCTCCCCCAAAGCACTACATGGAGGTCTGAACTACTGCCCCCCCAAAGCACTACATGGAGGACTGAACTACTGCCCCCCCAAAGCACTACATGGAGGACTGAACTACTTCCCCCCTAAAGCACTACATGGAGGACTGAACTACTGCCCCCCCAAAGCACTACATGGAGGACTGAACTAGCAGACATTACAGTTTGAGCCCGTTTCTGACCAGGTTCTTGAGCCGCATGATTGGTTTTAGGGTCGGACTGAATTTCAGCTTGGTCCGGCGCCATGTGCCGTGCTGCAGAGTACAGGGGGGGGCGAGGGCCGGCCCCATCAGCTCCTCCTGACCGGCCCTCGGACGTCTGGGGGAATTTCTGACATGTCAGCGTGGCTGAAACACAAAGAACCCTTTTGACTCCCCTGGTCGGACAACATGTCTTACACACTAATTATCAACATTATCTCACCAGGTCATCTGTGACTGTGCCTTTGAGCCAACCACAGTCACTATGTTTGGTGTTCTACCATACACTTGAAATGGGATCTGATCCATAGATGAACCCTGATTGGTCGACTCACAGTCTAAAGAGGGCTCTGTGCTGAAGCCGTGTGTTAACAAAGCTGCAGCAGCTGGCTGCCTCCTGCCGCCTCAAACAGATGTTGGTGGTTGTGTAATGGAAGTGCACTTGTCACAAGCCATTTTTAAAGGCAGACTTGCTTCATCTGCCCTTTAGGCCTAGTACTTGGTCAAAAATAGAAATGTTTTTTTTAGAACTATATGATGATGCCATTTAGGCATTAGTGTGAACACAGAACTATAATTCCACATACGCTAAAAAAGTGAAACGTTGACTTGAATAATTTCAGCAGATTTCACATAACTGTTCAAGGTAAGTTGAAATCAATCAAATCAAATCAAATTTTATTTATAAAGCACATTTAAAAGCGATTTTTGGTCGGGCCAAAGTGTTGTACATGTAATAAATACTAGAATCACATAAAAACACATTACTACAATCACAATAAAAAACAATAAATTACAACAGATATATAAAAAACACAGAGAAAAGTCAGGAGTCGTGCTCTGCTCTTACTAAAAGGCCAGGGAGAAGAAGCGTGTTTTAAGAGTAGATTTAAATAATATTATTATTAATAATATTACGTTTAAATAAAAAATACTAGGTTTAACTTAACAGTTTTGCTTTCAACTATGGTACAGAGGGCTGCACAGGGGTCTCCTACCTTGCTGTATGGGGGAGTTGCGTGTTGATCCTGTGCTTCCATTAGAGCCATACTTCTCCAGCAGCTCAGCGAACTCTCTCCTGTTCAGAGAAACCAGAGAGAACGTCACTGGGATAGGCTTTTGTCATTCTTTATTAAAGGTCCCCTATTATACTATTTTTCACCAATATATTATAAGTCTCAGATATATACAGAACATATCTCTGAAGTGTTTGGCTCAAAATACCAAACAGATCGTGCATTGTAGCATCCCATAATCCCCTCTGTTTCTGTTACTTTAGATGAAAGTAAGGAGCCCCTCCCCACGCCCCTCTGAGAGACATTTGGTTACAAAGAACACAATGGTGCTCTAGGAGGAGATTCAGGTGATAAACACATGTTGATGTAGAAGAGACATGAAGAAGAGGGGACACATGTTGATGTAGAAGAGACATGAAGAAGAGGGGACACATGTTGATGTAGAAGAGACATGAATAAGAGGGGACACATGTTGATGTAGAAGAGACCTGAAGAAGAGGGGACACATGTTGATGTAGAAGAGACATGAAGAAGAGGGGACACATGTTGATGTAGAAGAGACATGAAGAAGAGGGGACACAATGTTGATGTAGAAGAGACATGGAGAAGAGGAGACACATGTTGATGTAGAAGAGACATGAAGAAGAGGGGACCACATGTTGATGTAGAAGAGACATGAAGAAGAGGGGACACATGTTGATGTAGAAGATACATGAAGAAGAGGGGACACATGTTGATGTAGAAGAGACATGAAGAAGAGGGGGACACATGTTGATGTAGAAGAGACATGGAGAAGAGGGGACACATGTTGATGTAGAAGAGACATGGAGAAGAGGGGACACATGTTGATGTAGAAGAGACATGAAGAAGAGGGGACACTTGTTGATGTAGAAGAGACATGAAGAAGAGGGGACACATGTTGATGTAGAAGAGACATGAAGAAGAGGGGACACATGTTGATGTAGAAGAGACATGAAGAAGAGGGGACACATGTTGATGTAGAAGAGACATGAAGAAGAGGGGACACATGTTGATATAGAAGAGACATGAAGAAGAGGGGACACATGTTGATGTAAAAGAGACATGAAGAAGTGGGGACACATGTTGATGTAGAAGAGACATGAAGAAGAGGGGACACATGGTGATGTAGAAGAGACATGAAGAAGAGGGGACACATGTTGATGTAGAAGAGACATGAAGAAGAGGGGACACATGTTGATGTAGAAGAGACATGGAGAAGAGGGGACACATGGTGATGTAGAAGAGACATGAAGAAGAGGGGACACATGTTGATGGAGAAGAGACATGAAGAAGAGGGGGACACATGTTGATGTAGAAGAGACATGAAGAAGAGGGGACACATGGTGATGTAGAAGAGACATGAAGAAGAGGGGGACACATGTTGATGTAGAAGAGACATGAAGAAGAGGGGACACATGTTGATGTAGAAGAGACATGAAGAAGAGGGGACACATGTTGATGTAGAAGAGACATGAAGAAGAGGGGACACATGTTGATGTAGAAGAGACATGGAGAAGAGGGGACACATGTTGATGTAGAAGAGACATGAAGAAGAGGGGACACATGTTGATGTAGAAGAGACATGGAGAAGAGGGGACACATGTTGATGTAGAAGAGACATGAAGAAGAGGGGGACACATGTTGATGTAGAAGAGACATGAAGAAGAGAGGACACATGTTGATGTAGAAGAGACATGAAGAAGAGGGGACACATGGTGATGTAGAAGAGACATGAAGAAGAGGGGACACATGTTGATGTAGAAGATACATGAAGAAGAGGGGACACATGTTGATGTAGAAGAGACATGAAGAAGTAGGGGACACATGTTGATGTAGAAGAGACATGGCGAAGAGGGGACACATGTTGATGTAGAAGAGACATGGAGAAGAGGGACACCATGTTGATGTAGAAGAGACATGGAGAAGAGGGGGACACATGTTGATGTAGAAGAGACATGAAGAAGAGGGGACACATGTTGATGTAGAAGAGACATGAAGAAGAGGGGACACATGTTGATGTAGAAGAGACATGAAGAAGAGGGGACACATGTTGATGTAGAAGAGACATGAAGAAGAGGGGGACACATGTTGATGTAGAAGAGACATGAAGAAGAGGGGACACATGTTGATTGTAGAAGAGGACATGAAGAAGAGGGGACACATGTTGATGTAAGAAGACATGAAGAAGAGGGACACATGTTGATATAGAAGAACCTGAGAAGAGGGGACACATTGTTGAGTTAAAGAGACATGAAGAAGAGGGGACACATGTTGATGTAGAAAGAGACATGAAGAAGAGGTGGACCATGTTGATGTAGAATGTAGACATGTAAGAAGAGGGGACACATGTGATGTAGAGAGACAGAAGAGAGGGGACACATGTTGATGTAGAAGAGACATGAAGAAGAGGGGACCCAGTGTTGATGTAGAAGAGAGAGACATGAAGAAGAGGGGACACATGTTGATGTAGAAGAGACATGAAGAAGAGGGGACACATGTTGATGTAGAAGAGACATGAAGAAGAGGGGACACATGTTGATGTAGAAGAGACATGAGAAGAGGGGACACATGTTGATGTAGAAGAGACATGAAGAAGAGGGGACACATGTTGATGTAGAAGGAGACATGAAGAAGAGGGGGACACATGTTGATGTAGAAGAGACATGAAGAAGAGGGGACACATGTTGATGTATAAGAGACATGAAGAAGAGGGGACACATGTTGATGTAGAAGAGACATGGAGAAGAGGGGACACATGGTGATGTAGAAGAGACATGAAGAAGAGGGGACACATGTTGATGGAGAAGAGACATGAAGAAGAGGGTTTTGCACAATAGGTGAGCTTTAACTAACACCCTCCATGGTAAAGAAATAAACCAATGGTTCCTGCACGGCTGAAAGACGACAGCAGCACAGATCACTGGCTAACAGGTGCCATGTTCTATCATTCTCCTCCTGAGGGGCGTCTTTTCATCTTTGTAATCTGGCCTTTAGGGGGATATCATAGTTCTATCAATTGGTCTGTTAGCGCTGTAGAGTGTTGCTAGCAGAGCAGAATCATGATCTGGAGGTCTTGAACGTGGTGATGGTCTCACTCATTTCTGCGTCCTCCTCGGCCTCCTCGTAACATTGAAGGAGGAGATGCCCTACAGCTGCTGTGGTTCTCCAGAGACTCGTTCTCCCCAAGTCGCTCCCACATTTGAGAAATCAAATCAAATGCCCTATCCAATGAGCCTGAAAAGAACTGCCCTGATTTACAATAGATGAGTTTACCTAATGTAGTGTTCATTACACTGTATACAATACACACATGGAAAAAAGTGAAACGTTGACTTTAATTAAATGTATTATGTCAACAGATTTCATATCACTGTATTCGGTTAGTTGAAAGCAATACTTTTAAGTTTAAATAAATAATATTAGGTTTAATTTAATGTTATTGCCTTTAACTAACCTAATGCAGTAATGTGAAATGTAATACATTTAATTAAAGTCAACGTTTCAGTATTTTCAGTGTAAGGTGCACCATGCACCCTAATATGTGAGTACAGGTGACATATTTGATTCTAAACCACATACATATTTAAACTTCGAAGCTTAAACGATAAATAATCAGTGTCATTATTGAAGATAGAAATGAAACGTAGGCATGTAGACATGCATATTTAAACTGTTGTTCACTCACACCATTGGTTGATTAATTTTTCAAACTGCACAAGCCATTCCATCTGCTTTTTTTGTGCTTAGCTTGTCATATTTATCGGGGTAATGACAATAGTAATTATTTAGTATCACAGCTGGTGCGCATGTAGCTAGTTTGAAGTTATTTTAAAAAGAAGTAGAGTAAATCTGAGGGAGACGCAGACGGGCAAAATCCCCCCCCCCTCGATCCTCTGCTCTGAAGGGTAGTTAAAGCAGCGAGCACAGATTAACACACAAGCCTCATCTCATCAGGAGAACAGCCCTAGGTTAAGCTCTCTCCCCCCTCTGAGTCTGCTGTCATTCCCCCACAAAGACAGGGGGAAGGGGCGGCCTCACTACATTCCCTTTTTCATCATTTATAAACCTTAGGATGTCCCTTGTCATCACCATTCCTGCAGTTCGACATATTCCAACTGGGATTTTTACAATGAATCAGTCTGCTGCTGGTGGGGTTTCCACTGTGCACTTCTAAAGTCTGGCATCTGTGAAAGCGAAGGTGCAAATCCTATGAGCAGTGAGTCTCTTCTCTGACGCTCACAGGCAGAAGAAACATCATTGTTAGGGAATATCATGACTGACACGTGCCAAACCTTGCTCATTTCAATATCAAAATGCACGACTTACAATTAAGGAAGATGTGGTCTGGAGTGTGTTTAAGGGGAAGGGGGGGGGGGGGGGCTGACAGCTGGCTCTTGTTTTCACCAAAACGGGCTGCGGTCAGATTAGAAAGCTGGTTGAACACTAATACGACCTTCCATCAGTCATGTGTTGCCATATCAAGATTACTGTTCAACCCATTTGTTGCATAGGTTATTGAGCAGATGCATTTGCTTCTTTGTGTGAGTAACATTCATTCATCTGTAAGCCTTAGTGTAGGAGGAGCAGAGAAAGATCTGTTTCCTCGACAGTCAGTAATGTAGGTAGGAACAAATGAATCACAGCATGGATGGGGCAGTCTGAGGTCCCATTGAGATCATCGATCTGTTTTTACAAGGGAGACCTGCCACCACAATAGAGTGGTGCAGGAATGAGTCCTTAAACCTAGAAATCAAATGAAATGTTACCACTTCCCTTTTCTTAAAATCAGGTTTAGATTAACTTCCGTTTTTAAGGCTTAAAATGAAAAGAAAATGTGTGTCAATATCTGGAGACTAAAACGTGTAAGTATCATAAACGTGTTTGCCACAGATCTTATCTTCTACAATTATGTCCCTGACATTCTATGAATGTTCTGTATCAAATACATAGACATTTCTTACTTTGCTTCCTCGTCTCTGGCTATGAGAAGGCGCATGTGATTGGTTGCGGAGGCTGCTCTCAAGACGTCCACAGCTCTGTGAAACAGAAACACATTGTTACAGCGTCACCTCTCAATCATGTGGTAAAAGGAACGTTTTCACTGGACTACCTGTCACTTGTGACTCCTACAAGACTGTCCCCGTTAACTTCTAAGATCTGGTCTCCCGGCAACAGGTTTCCTGTCAGAGGTCAGAGAAAGGTTGAGTTATTGAGTTATCCACCATAAAAACATCATGCAACACAATATGTAGTTCAATAAACAAAGATAAAAGAGTCACATGATTCATCCTGTGGGAGTTAGGGCTCCATCACATCTGAGAGGAAGCCATCAGGTTTCATCAAGAAGACAAAAAGGACTGATACAAACTGCATTAGAAGACTTTCGAGACCACAGGGGTTAAAAAGGACAAGAGCATTACATTTTCAGTCTGTCAAGTCAAGGCTCGAGAGAGACTGAAATATGCTTTTGGTAATGGACAGTTAGAGTCACACCCGCATAGAGTTTGCATGATTCAGTCCTAAAACCTGCAAATAAGTTAGCATTTTACCACTTCCTGTTCCCTGGTCTGGAAGTGTTTTGAATGTGTGTTTGGTTATTAGCCTGAATTAAGATGTGTGGTTAACACTTTTTGTTCAATGACATCAAATACATCAGTGAATACCCCACTGGTTAATGTCTGAAGCATGTGTCATAAAAACGGTTGGTTACAAGTTGCTAAATAACTCTACTAGTCTTCATGCCGAACATTAGCCACCTTTAACGGTGGTGATGCACAGCTATGAAACCGTGAGGCACAATACGACACGATAATACTTGATGCTCAAATCATGTCTGAAATGTTTCGAGCATCCCAGGAGCTACATTAGCAAACTAGTTTGTTCTGTACATTTCCACTGTTATGCGGATCATACTCAACTATATTTATCAATCAAGCCTGATGAAATGAATCATCTAAATAAAATTCAAGACTGCCTCAAGGACTTAAAAACGTGGATGACCTTAAACTTTTTGATGTTAAACACGACCAAAACTGAAGTTATTGTACTTGGCCCGAAGAATCTACGAAACAAATTATCTAAGGATATATTAACTATGGATGGCATTAATTTGGCCTCCAGTGAGACTATAAGGAATCTTGGTGTTATATTTGATCAGGATTTATCCTTTAACGCCCACATAAAATCAATTTCAAGGACCGCCTACTTCCATCTACGTAACATTGCAAAAATCAGGCATATCTTGCCTCAAAACGATGCAGAGAAACTAGTCCATGCATTTGTTACTTCAAGGCTGGATTATTGTAACTCTTTATTATCAGGGTGTACCAAGAAGTCAGTCAAGTCGCTTCAGCTGATTCAAAATGCTGCAGCTCGTGTGTACTAACCAGAGTTAGGAAAAGGGACCACATTACTCCTGTTCTGGCTGCCTTACACTGGCTCCCTATAGAACACAGGATAGAATTTAAAATTCTTCTTCTCGCCTACAAAGCCCTTAATGGGCAGGCGCCATCTTACCTTAAAGAACTCATTATACCCTACTGTCCTACTAGGGCATTGCGTTCCAAGAATGCAGGGTTGTTGGTTGTTCCTAGAGTCTCTAAAAGTACAATGGGAGCCAGAGCCTTTTCTTATCAAGCTCCACATTTGTGGAATCAGCTTCCAGTTTGTGTTCGGGCGGCAGACACCCTATCCGTTTTTAAGAGTGCGCTTAAGACCTTCCTTTTTGATAAAGCTTATAGTTAGGGCTGATTAGATTCAGCCCCTAGTTTTGCTGCTATAGGCTTAGTTTGTGTGGCTTTTTGGTGTCTATATACGCCGGGATCCGGAGTCATGGATGATCCTGTTGCTGTGGTCCTGAGTACTGGATCCTGATCTGAGTCCTGGACTTCGAGTCGTGGCTGAACCTGTCTCTGCGGTCCTGCCTGACTCTCATCATACTACTTCCCTGATGGCTTCCTCAGGATTGTAGCTGACATCCTCGTGGATTCATCTTCTTATTACAGACACATGCATTTCCTAACATTCGGTCTATATGCTGTAAAATGTATTATCTCTTCAATTTACATACGGCATCTATTGCACGTCTGTCCGTCCTGGGAGAGGGATCCCTCCTCTGTTGCTCTCCCTGAGGTTTCTCCCATTTTTCCCTTTAAACTGTGGGTTTTCTCTGGAAGTGTTTCCTTGTACGATGTGAGGGTCTAAGGACAGAGGGTGTCGTATTGTCATACTGATATTCTGTACACACTGTGAAGTCCACTGAGACAAATGTAATCTTTGTGATATTGGGCTGTATAAATAAACACTGATTGATTGATTGAAAGCTAGCCTTTTAATTTTGCCGATTGCATTTACGCTTCAAACAGAAGTGGTCTAAATACCTGGAGATTATGCTGCTGAACAAACATGCTAAGTGTTTGCTTCAGTTATAAAGGCATCCAAATTAAAACAGAAAGGTAGCAGAGCAAAAATACAAAGCATCATGGGAGCTACTGGGCACCACATCTGCATGAGCTGCCATCACATGGCAAGGAAACCATGTGATGCCTTCACACTGAAATAAAGGGTGCAAGTGTGGAATTCTTCACAATAATACATTTAACTGTAAGACCTGCTACAGAGCATGGTGCTAGCAGGATCTAGATCCCTGGGAGGTCAACGCTGGGTCTCCTCTGGATCTGAGAGGCTGGGTGACCCCTCCCCTCAGTCTGGCTCACAGCCACCTCACACATGTCCTCAAGATAAAGTATTAGGAACGAACAGTATCAGACTTTGGAGATAAGGACTAAACCTCAGTGTGACCTATTTCTATTCGCTGCAGCTTTGCACGCCACATTTAAAAAAACTTTGACATTTGAATACTGATCTCATCCAGCAAGACTTTGTATGAGAATGATTAATACAATCTTTTATTTTGGTAGCCTGTTAAATCCTTCCATTTAACTTAAAAAATAAAATAAACACTAGTTAAAGTTGTTCTTTTTGACAAGTGAGGTTCTGTAACTAAGCTGCGGTTCTACATCTGAATGCTGCCCATATCTCAGATCTATACATTACAGAATATCTGGTTTAGGTGACTACTGTCTGGTTGTTTGAAAAAAGCCAATCAACATATATATTTTAAAATAGTTCACTACATACTGTCTGTAGTGCAGTGTGTTTGAAATGATGCTGCACGGACACAGCAGAGACAATACTCAATACAACGGTAAGATTAGTGTCAGTGAGATATATCACAGTAAACGTACAGAATGAAACATCATGCTCCTTGTGTGTGAGTGTTAAAGTGTTAACCAGCAACAGCTGCATCATTCTGTCTCTAAAATGAACCTGATAGGACGTAAACTTCAGTTTTGAGAAAGTCTTTCATGTCATTATTAGAAAACATTAAATATGACTATTGAGCAGTGATAATGTGCTATTTTGTGAAAGGATGGTGCTCTTCTAACTGCAGTATACATTACTGTCCCTCAATATCTGCCCTATATCCATCAGTTATGGTACAGAGGAAGAAGTGGTGCCTTTTTCCCTTTTTTATAATCACATGAGAGAAGAATCAAAAGCCAGAACTCAAAATGTCTTTTTACTTTTGGTCACATCCTCATGTGGCCTAATCGTATATTTCTTCAGATAGCTGCTTGCATGTTGAACCAATGTGACGCCTTTGGTTGACATGAATAAAGTCAGTAGTAGAAGAAGACGTTTTCAATATTTTACCAAAACCTTCCCCCACTATTTTTCACTGATCTTCGTGATAATCAGGCTATTCATCTTTTTGTTATGGAGTACAGCCTGGATGAAAGTGGACTGCAGTCCGAAAGTGTCTTCTCCTAAACCAATGTTCCAAACTCACCAGAAAAGCTTTTCCTCCGACAGGCGTCAAAACAATCGAGCAACAATTCATGCATGTGGTGAACTACAGCTGAGCTCATATACACCTGTAGACTTAGTTTATTTAGAAGTGCTTGATAATCTTTGACAAGATGTGTAATTGTTCCAAGAATCATCAAAAGCACCTTTTATTCCAGGTGATCAAAGTACTATGACGCTTTACATGATTCTTCACTCTCTATCAACTTCAACACCTTTTAGAAAACAAGCTATTATTGTGAACTGTCCGTACAGAATCCTAACACTACAGTATCTCTCATGTTATCATCTGAACAGAACCCTGTTTGGACTGAGGAGCACATCTGGCGCTGTCAGCACTTGCCACAGAGGAGATGTGTTATTTATCATTACAGTGTAGAGTATTTATACCATACTTTCATTTCATTTGACATAGCTTCATTATTCCTGCATTTGACTGGCACCATTGTATCACTTGACATGTCACTTGTTAGATGCTTTTATCCAAAGCGACTTACATACTCAATACTGTGGGCAATCCCCACTGGAGCACTTTGGGGTGAAGTGTCTCAGGGACACAATGAGATGCTGACTGCAGTGGGGTTTGAACCTGTGCCCCCTTGATCCCAACACCAAGGCTCTATCCACTGCGCCACACGCCTCCCTGTATCACTTGCACTATTTCTTATTGCACTGTTTCAGTTGCTAATTCTTCATGTCTTAAGTGTTAGTGTATGTGTAGACTGGGATGTCACATTTGTATTGCCAACGAATACACTGTAGCTTTTGTGCACATGACAATAAAACATTTAGCATCTTAAATCTTTGAAAGTCCGCTGCTACAGATGCTCACTACAGCATTCAGAGTTTACATTAAGATCACACCTTCTACCACCATCTGCCCCTGACAGAGAAGGAGAGGGGGACGAGAGAAGAGAAGAGTATCTGTGGTCAAGGACAGAGGTGATCAGATGTCCAGTGGGACACCAGAGGACTGTACTACGAAGCCGGATTTTGGCTTAGCGAGGTAACTTCAGGAAAAACTCGGGGTTTCCGCTCTAACGACGCTGGTTCTCTTCTTAGCGGGCTAGATCTCCATGGTAACTTATGCTGAACGGCTAGCCTGGTCCGGAGCAGGTTAGGTTGCAGGCTAGAGATCAACTCAGTGAAAGCACCGCCTGCCAGGCGCGGCGGATTCATTTTAGAAGTGGGGGGGGGCAAAAAAGTGCGTGTGTATGGCCCAATCCCAAACCACGCCCTACTCACTCTCCCTCCGTGACGGAGTGAACTCCGTGGAGTGACACATGAGGCTCCCTCCTGTCAGATGGAGGGAGTAAATACAGCAGCAAGCTTTGGGACGGCCTCCCCTCTCTCCGGCAGAAACAGGAAATGCCGTAACTGTATGTAACAACGGTTTCAAATCAGCTTCTCTTTGACAAAAAAATGTAAATTAATAACTCAAATAAAACTCCAAACATCTTTCATTGTGTTTCAAAGCTCTTTTAGTTTTAAACCTGATGTTTATAAGCTTCTTAGTTTTTGCAACAGTCTGTAAATATGCACAACTTTATAATAAAATGCACACATTTACCTTTTTCTAGACTAAACACAGGTATGATCCTAAATTAAAAACATATGAGGTTATCATGAGGTTGTTAACATCGCAGTTTATCAGTGGGTTATTGATTCTGCGTCAGTCTTAGGACAGTCACACATTGCTATGAAGTCTTCATGGACAACATAATCAGCTGATACCCGCTGCAGGACGGAGTCCAGAACAAATGTCCTTACGGGGACAATAAAGTACTATATCGTATCGTATACCATCGTACAGTCAGAGACAACCCGGAGCAATCGCGAGTTTCATCCACAATAACTGCACAGTGTTTTGCATTGCTTTTAATTTCAGTTAATAGAGTGGTGAGAGACTCCAGATACATTTGATGTATAAGTTCATTAATTGTCTCATGTGATGCATATTTCCCGGTGAGCATGAAGCTTTTCAGAGTGGGGTTTTTCTCAGCAACGAGTTCAACTAGCTTTTGGAAATTGCTGCTCTCCTTATCCGCATGCCCCCTGTTTGCTAGGCCCTGTCGGGTTAGAAACTGCAGACAGCGTAGTTGCTCCATCATTCCATCTCTTCTTTTTTCCTGCTCAATACGCTGTTGTTTGACAAGCTGTATGTTGACTGGTGTTTGACTGAAGAAAGCGCACTTTTTTTTAATACACTTTCTGTGGGAATGAGACTTTTCGTGGCTGTCCAGGAGGCTTGGGCACTTTTTCCAGTTATTAACTCGGTATTTACAAAGCTATCATCTCCACATTTTGAGAAAGTTACGAGCCGTTTGACAGCAGCACATCTGCATATTTCACAGAAGGCTCGTTTAGTGGTTTTGCAAATAATGAACCACTCTCTGTTTTTGTACCATTCTGCGTTGAAGTACCTTCTCTTTGCCCAAATAATCTAGCGGTCTCCTTTTTTTCGACAGTTAGCTGTACAGCTTTACCCGCCTCAATGTCCCGACAACAAACCTCCATGCAGTCGGAACCAGCCTGTTTCTATGATTGAAGAAGGTCCAGGCTCCGGAGATGTGGATGTCAGGGATGTGACCTTCCAGTTGTTACATTTAAGTTTAGATTGACTGTATTTAGTTTTCTTCTGCGCTGGTTCTTCTGACATGTTTGCAAGTTTATCTATTCTTTCTATCTAGGTTAATGGCTGACACACACAGAACAACATAACAAATAAAGTAAACAACGTAACAAATCTAAGCTTTTTTATTGGCTGTAATTGACATGGATACATTTGAATGGTGTGACAATGTCCTTTTTGATTGGGTTAAAATGTACATATTCTTCCTGTTATGTCTGCCTGCTTTATTTTACCTAATGCAAAGTGACCTGCTCCATCGAAATCAGTCGCATTGACCCGAAGACATATTTTGATTCCTAGCTTTATAATGATATCAGGATTGTTGTTGTTCTCCAAATATTAAGTGAAATATGTCACTTTATATAATGACTGTTACCGAGTCGTCATTTTGAGAAAAAGGCCTTGATTGATTAGCGGAGCAAATGATCAAAATACTACGGAGGGAAGATATTTTCGTTTGGATTACTGGTCTGGGGGAAGATCGCGAGTGTGTGTGTTTGTTTATTTTTGCGTTTGTGTGTATTGTGTTTGTTTCCCGGGGAAAACACTCACGAGAAACACCGGCTGTTGTTATGCTTGCTGTGACGTTAAGTTACTCCGATCTCCGCTTGTAATTATGCCGAAGCTTCAAAGTTGTGTTTATCATCTGAATTTGCCGAAACAAGTTTAATATTCTGAAAGCCAAGACTTTGTTTATTTGAAACCAGATAAAAACAAACTGTAACGGACCCTGTCGTGTTATCTATGATCACTATACGCCTTACATTCATAATTTCAGCCGGAGGGAGGGGGAGCGGCGCTGCGGAAGAGCAGAGTGGCGAGTGAGAGGCGAGCTGTCATCTTCCCTTTACAAGCTTAACAAATGCCTGGAGCTAATGAGATTGAATATAACAATCAAAAATAACAAAATACACAGATCAGCTGTGCTAGATCAGATCGCGTTTTAGATGCGACTTTAGAGTAGAGGGGAATTATTGAAACGAGATTTGTACAGTGTTCCGCGGCATCCGCCGCTGCAAAAATGTGGGGCAGGGCTGAAAAGCGGGGGGGCAATGGCCCCCTGGCCCCCCCACTTCCGGTGCCCTTGCCGCCTGCTGACCAATCAGCTCAGTGTGCGGAGTTTAAAGCGATCAAGTCATATTACAGGAGAAAGGAAATACAGAAAAACTGCCGTTGCAGGAAAGACGGCCGATAAAAATCACCGACTGTGTGAACGTGAACATTAATAGAATATCACCTCCATCTTCAGAGCAATCTGACTATTATAACATTAGCGTTAAGAAAGCTTACTTAAATATCTGCCACAACATAAGTAACCGGATCAGAGTAACATTAAGTACAGTCATATCACTTCATAATGTATCATATATTTCCTTATCTGAGTCAGCTGAGCCGTATCTGGCCGTGCAACACTCACAGTGTCACATACTGTATGCAGAAGTATTATTTTAAGCAACACATTAAGTTGACGAAACACTCGAGTCAAATGTAATGAAAGTCAGATGGTGTCTTGGACGGGGCAGTGATATCATAAACCTGTTAATGTACGCATTCAAACACTTGTTCTGTCGGACCCCCAGCTGATGATCTGCAGCAGTTTCACAGGGACAGCACATCCTTTCAATAACCATAATAAATGTATTTGTATATATTGTTCTCACACTGTACCTCGTTGCATTTTATAAATATAAAATATGCATTTACATCACAGACTTATAATATAAGCAATGTGTTTAAATGTTAGTAGGTTGTTCTGTTATAGTGTATGCTGACTTAGTGATAGTGATACTCTAAAGATATATATATATAATAAGTATATACTTACTGTTCAACATATTGTTTATTTTGAATATATGTGTAATTCCTTGTAATTGTAATTCCTAACAGAGCAATGTCCTCATTTGGGATCAATAAAGTGAATCTATGATGGCTCCGAGGTCAAACCTCTTACCGTCGTAGGATGCGACGCCTCCCGGTAGGATCCGTTTGACGTAGACTCCAAACTCCTCTCCGGTTTGCTCCTTCACTCCACCAATCACTTTGATCCCTGTTTGGAGGAATAACAAGGCACTTTTACTTTACTTATTTTAAAATCAATCATAGATAAATGACACAAGGAAGCTTTTTTCTGGTGAACTCAAAACAGAACAAATGCTAATTACATTATAAATGTATAATAATGACCTGCTGCAGATGGGGTTTTAAATATTGTGAGCTGAGGGGAGTGAGGGGAAGGTCATTTAACTGCAGCTGACGTTATATCGGCATACTGCTGACAAAAGAGGAATGTCAGGGGCATTTCTGGAGTAGTATTTACCTTCACAATAACACTCAAAATACATATGTAATTACATTAAACGCCCCCACCTATCACAACTGTAACGGAATATACTACAGTACATATATATTTATAAAACGGACAAGTCAAATCAAGCAATCTGATTGGTTCTTAGCCGTGATGTAATGAGCGTATATCACGGGTAGAATTGTAGTTACTTTTCACAACAAGTCTGTATATCGTATTGTCATACTGATATTCTGTACAAACTGTGAAGTCCACTGAGACAAATGTAACATTTGTGATATTGGGCTATATAAATAAACATTGATTGATTGATTGATTGATTGATTGATTGATTGAGTATCCCTCCGTGTCTGAGAAAAGCTACAACCGTTACAGCTGTTACGTTACGTCCGTTAGGAAACTAACTAACTAACTAACAAAGCTTAAGATGGAAACATGTAAGGGATAATGTGCAGCAAGGACTTATTGGCCGTTGTTAAGGACGCTCACATCTGCAGAAAGAAGTCTGGTCGATTTAACTGCATACAGTTGGGCTGGGACAAGAAAACAGCGGGGAAGTAACGGGGCAGAAACCTCCTTTTTACGCAGCGGTCCTGACATAGACATCAAACGGCAACACATATTCAGTGTGCAGTTCCTTTGGCATTAGGGCAGGGATATCTAGATACTTTCCAAGGTTTGACATCATGAATTGTGCTACTTTTAAAGCAAGCAACGATGTTTTCAAAATCTGTAATCAAAAAGGTCTGCAAAAACACTATCGAAGCAGTTCCTGCCGTTACTACGTAGTTCAAACAGTAACAACGGACTATTTTTGATCGGGTGTTCTTTTACCCATAATGACCGCCTCGCTGCATATTATCCCTTACTTAACTTGGACCTCCGGGGTGGCCTTACTATGGAGGAGTGGATTGAGCAGTGCCTATCTTCAGAAAGCACCTAAACGACGACATGCAGAGCTACGTGAAGAGCAGGTAGACCAACTGGAAAAGTAGCACCATTCAAAAGCTTTCTGATGCGGGTCTTGAAAGCAGAGAAATGATGAGCGTTAGTGGCCACAGGTGCGAAAGCTCTCCAGAGCTACTGGAAGCCCAATCTCGGGGACCGGAGAAAGTGGAGCAACATTCTCGCCACGCCAAGCAACAGCCGAGTACAACCTCAACCTGTACAAGTCACCTCGTAAGCCATGCTACTGATGCTGGTCAGGTTTTCAGTGGGTGCACAATAAACGGCAACATACACATTAATGTAAATAAATAGCTAAATAATCGATCAACGCTCTCTGTCTAATAAGGCAACGGAGGGACTATTTTATTTTGAATATCATTATTTACTAATACAAACTATTTAAATTAGAGTGTCTATTTTTCTTCCATATTGCCACACTTGGTAACCGTTTTATAAAAGCAATATACCATGGCCTGTCGTGAGCTATTGCTTAAATATACTATGTATGTAATAACTGTTTTTTACTAGTTGTTTCTACATGATAAGCCTCATGATTACACGTGTATTTTTGGTTTTAGAGTTGTGGTTACAGTGTAGCTACACTACTTTTATGTGTAGTCTTTGTGGTTGAGTTATAAAGTGACAGTTTATGTTACGGTTGCTGTTTGTCTGCTCCTTAATCTGTCTGGGATTGTTTGCAGCTGTGTGCGTGTGTGTGATTATGCAAATTAGCTGTGTGGTAGGCCCAACATCATTGGCTGCCCATCTCCTGGTCCGCCTCTGAAGATGGTGATTGGATTGACGTCGTCCAATCGCAGCGCACAGCCGGCGCACAGCCCGCGCACAGCCGGCGCACAGCTGCTGGGGAGGAGTACAAAGGCTGCGGACTATCACCACTCTGGAGGCTCTGACATGTGGACAGACGCCTCTCGCTACTTGCTCTAATAGAATTCTGTTAACTGTGGTTAAACTTGTGTGATTAGTAGTGTCTAGAGTAGCTTAGTTAGAGTGTAGAGTAGTTTAGGATTTTGTGACTGTTGCCTTTTAGTTTAGCTGTGTGTTTTGTATATATTTCCTGTGTTAGTCTGTACCACTTTTAAAGTGAGGTTTTGTTTCGTTCTTTATTTAGTATATTAGTATTTATTTTCCCTGTATGCCTTTAGACTCCTTTTGAGTCCTCCCTTAGTTTGGTTATCTGTCAACCAGTGCCCTTTTGGCCCCTTTTGTTTGTTTCAGGCTGCCTGCCTTCGATTTTGTTACACCTTGCTTTATAATAAAACCACTTATAATTAATACCAATACCACTCTGGTTGTGTCGCTTCCCTTTGGTTCCCCTAGCCCAATAGGGAACGTAACAGTTTGTTAATAGTGAAGTTAGGAGGGCCTTGCTTTGAGCTACCCAGCAGAGATCTGTCCTGCCAAGCCTCTGCTGCTCTGAGAACAGCGAGTCAGAGACTGAACTCAGATGAAACACATATGGGATTTTAGGAAATGAAATGGGGGTGAGATTGGCTAGTTGTTAAAAAATGGCACACTGACCCTAACATGGTTTCTGTGGGATTCAATCATTTGACAGTCTGTGTCAATGTTTAACGTGTATGGATGTAAAAAATAATAATATGGGTGTTATTCACCGTCAAGTTGGCACGGTTTCTGGGATATTTTAGAAATGGCTGAGGGAGAAAGTTTTTATTTACAGTGCAAAGCATGTTTTTTTTATTGTGCTGGTTCAACTTTCTCAAAATCCCATTTGTGTGTTAGTTAAATGTGGTGCAAGCTAATTTTGGAATATTTGAAACAATGTATGGCTAAAAAGAAAATTGATACCAAATCTTTCGTTTCAAAAAGTGGTGGGGACATTTCCCGAGAACTAAGAACGAGAACTTGTCGGCCACAAGACACAGTAAATGAAAGAAGAGTTACTGTGGGGAAATAATTCAAGCATAATATGGCTCATCATGTACTTTACATCCAATATTGTAGTACTTATAACAGTGAAACCAACACGGGTCTGTACTCAGAATCCACACTGTAGTATCTCTGTGGCTCCTGGGCGCTGGAGGCTCTCTTCTCTAACATTCAGAACCTTGAGCTGCTGCCGGCCTGTTACCTCACTCACAAAATGCTAACACTAATTAGTTCTGGAGCCAAGTGGTGCATGTTAATTATGGCCTGTTGGAAGAATGGGGTTATAAAGTTCCTTGTCTCGGTCCTCCCTCCCTTCTGACTCTTCTCTGAGGAAAACAGACTCTTATTCTTTTGTTCAGCCTCAAAGCACTCTCCTCCCCCCGCCTACCATCTGATAAGAAAAACATCATACTAATGCAAAAGCAGCCGGTGTAAATATTAAAGACTCGCATCTCCTCTCCTGTTCACATTTTGAGTGAAAAAAAAACATGGCGGACACCCGACTTGTTTTTTATGGGAAATCCGAAACTGTAGGATAGTTCCTCCATTAAAATGCTTTTGATTACATTTCTAGTGAGAAGTGAAAATTCCACTTTCAGAATCTCCGTCCAGTGGCTGTGTTCCATTGATCCACACAGTTGGTATTTAAAGGATGACCATGGACCCTCGCCCACATGCTGAGGAGCAACAGCTCGGCTGCAGTGACTACAAGATTAGACTGTGCTGTGCTCTGAGAGGGACAGCAGGGGGGGTGCCACGGTGTGTAACACACACTGCTCTGTGAACACACACACACTGCTCTGTGAACACACACACACTGCTCTGTGAACACACACACACTGCTCTGTGAACACACAGCTCTGTGAACACACACACACTGCTCTGTGAACACACACTGCTCTGTGAACACACTGCTCTGTGAACACACACTGCTCTGTGAACACACACTGCTCTGTGAACACACACACACTGCTCTGTGAACACACTGCTCTGTGAACACACTGCTCTGTGAACACACTGCTCTGTGAACACACACACACTGCTCTGTGAACACACTGCTCTGTGAACACACTGCTCTGTGAACAACCTCTGTGAACACACACACACTGCTCTGTGAACACACACACACTGCTCTGTACACACACTGCTCTGTGAACACACACACACTGCTCTGTGAACACACACACACACTGCTCTGTGAACACACACACACACTGCTCTGTGAACACACTGCTCTGTGAACACACACACACAGCTCTGTGAACACACTGCTCTGTGAACACACAGCTCTGTGAACACACACACACACACTGCTCTGTGAACACACTGCTCTGTGAACACACACACACTGCTCTGTGAACACACACACACACACTGCTCTGTGAACACACTGCTCTGTGAACACACACACACTGCTCTGTGAACACACACTGCAGTGCAGGGGTCTTTAGGCTCCATGTATTGGAACAGTGTGTACACAAGTCGCATGACTATAAGCTGCTTTACTTCTCACCTGTCTGCTGCTTTCACCCCCCCCCCCCCAACACCTTTCCCTTCGACCTTTACTACACTAACACATCTTGGTCCTTGATCTAGCATTCATGCAGATGTAGCATTGTTATTAGACACACTTTTGGCATGCATTTCCTCTTGTTTGTTTTATAATCCTAAAAAAGTCACTAGGGTTGTGTATACGTTTTTGATGAATATATAATTTACATTTAAAAATAGAAAATGAGATAGGAGGCTAAACAAGTCAGTTGTTGCTGGGTACACTTCATATATCCTCCATTTGAGCAGGGTATTAGCTTGTATTCATGGTTTGGGGTATTTGTGCTTGCGTAGGCAGAGCTGCACAGCGTGGGGGTGTCAACGTGTAGTAAGGATGGAACAACAGCAGCATCCTTAACCCAGCTCAGTTAAGTGGGTTAGGGCTTTGCCTCATGACCTACTTCCATTCGCAGGCCAACACACTGAGACTTAACAAGGAAACCTACTCTGCAGAGACAATCCCTTTACGAGAACGACTTCAATCATTCCAGCTATTCAGAATCCCAATCCAGTGCCAGATAGTGGAGGAGGATTGGCTAGATACACTACATGTTGTTGACAATTTAAGATGATCATGTGATCTTGTTTGCATGCCATACCCCTTTTCTCCAACAAGTGCTCTGACAAAGTAACACATACAAAAAAAACTGAAGGACAAAGACAAAAATATTTCCATAAAAAAAAGGGTCCATTTACCATCTCCTCACTATGATGCTGTTCAGTGAGCAACAGGACCGTGTGAGGCTCTGGCCTTCAGACTCAAAGCATCACTAAAGCTATATGTATGCACTAACAATAGATTACAGCCTAATGGATCACATGACTGTGTAATGTATGTCACTAAGGCTGAGCCTCTCATTGTAGTGGCTCAGCCCCCCTGCCAGCACAGGTGAAAAACCCCTCTCAAATGGTGACATGCCTACATTATTGTTTCAGCTGCAGTACCAATTCTGATGAGAAGTTGTAAAAAAGTGTTGATACGAATGTATATTGTAGATGGAACTGCAAGAAGCCAGTGATGCTTATAATATATCTATATTCTATTTATTCTTAAAACAAGTTTTATATGGAGTGTGTAATGTGAAACGTGCCTCACCTGTTAGCTCATTTGGAATAATGCCTGAGTGTAACCACCATTGACTGAATAGTGAGATGTGTGTATCTGCTGAATGGTGTCAGCTAATGTGTTTAACTTTTAGTATGTTTTGCTTAATGTAAGATGAGAATGTAAATGAATGTTAATCATTGGACCATACAGAGTGCACAGCCTCGTGCAGCGATGTGCTTTGTATGTCAGAGGATGAACGACTGCTGTCAAATCATTCTAATTTAAAGGTATGCACGCCTGGAGCTCTGGTTTATGTCCAAATGTGCACAGACTCTCAGATGCCATGCTTCAGGGTGTTGATTCATCATTTTTAGGGCCAAGTGTTTGATTTGTGTAAGACTCATGTTTTCTCTGCATCAGTGTGGGTTTAATGTTTTATTTCTGTGTGGAGTGCATGTTCTCCCTGCAGCAGTGTCGTTTTCAGTGTGTATGTTATGTTCTGCAGGAAACCCATTTTCCTTTGATCAGTCATTCCTTGTATCCATGGCTTCCGTAGCAAATAAAAACCCTACTTACCCAGGCCATTCTCACAGTCAGTGAACTCCATGGAATGAACAGCTCTGTCTACTCCGAATGGACCCATTAATGTCCTGTCGGGGGAAGAGAGGAGAAAATAAGTACAACATAAACTAAACTTGAAAAGCTTTCACTTGTTTTTCCTTCACAGAGTAGAGCCTTCAGCTGCACAGTCAGGGCGTGACATCATGAGAGCAGTTTGACTCAGTGATAGAAGATCTGAGAGGTTCTCCAACAACTGCTCTGGATGAGTCAGGAGGGGGGAGGTGGGAGGGGGGACACATATGGTTGGCATACGTTGTAAGATTTAAACCAAATCTGTCTTCTAAATCTAGACTGCATACTTATTCTACCCAGGTTGAGTCTGTAGTGTCTTCGTTCAGCAGGAGTGTCAAAATTGTTGTGCCCCCTCTCTCTCTCTGCCCAGTGTGTCTGCTTTCCACTGGCAGCAGTCAGGCTGGGCTGACTTTAAAGGTCCCATGTCATGGCCATTTCTACTGATCATAATTCCATTGTTGAGCTCTACTAGAATAGATTTATATTGTTCAATGTTCCAAACTCACATCTCTGTATAGTATGTGTATTCACTCTGTCCTACACGGCTTGTTGGAGCTCCTGCACCCCCCCCTCCCTGTGAGCCCACTGTGCTCTGATTGGTCAGCTCGCCCACTCTGTTCTGATGAGTCCACCACCGTTACAGCGGAACATCAGTGTTTATGTGTTACAATGGCGTTTGTTAGCAACCAGAAAATGACACCAGTAATGACAAACAGATGAGAATGCTGCGTGGGGTCTGGGGGCCATGTAGGCGGGACGTTGTGGGGCTCGCTGCTCCGCCCTTTGAGGCTCGAGGAGCGGACAGTGTGAGCTGGGTTAATGTCCTGCTTGCTGCGTGGGGTCTGCGAGACAGCGAGACATCGCGGGAAGGGGGGGGGGGGGGGGTGCTGAGGGGGCTGCAGTACCCCCATCTGCGAGGGTCCACTTACACATCATTTAAAAAATAAAAAAAGGAGTTAAATAAACAAACATTAAATAGAAACATCTCAAAATAGAAGATACAAATCTGTCAAATATATATATATATATTTGTTAGTTTTCTAGTCTCATTGTCTGTCCACCTGTCTGTCTGTCTGTCTGTCCGCCTGTCTGCTTGTCTGTCCACCTGTCTGTCTGTCTCTGTCTGTCCGTCCGTCTGTCCGTGTGTGAGACTTTCATATCCTGATGTGCCAATTGAACCCAAATCATGAACTGAATAGTTCCCTTGCCTTAATTATCTTGAGTAATTATGTTGGGAAAACCATCAATTTCACAGCATCAACCCTGTGTTTTAAACCACAGCTGTTACTATAAAACTTTGACTGATATTAAACATTCCTGCGGCTCCTATTTGACGATGGGAACATACAACCTGATATGACTCATGTTGTCTGTAGGCATACTGATCAAAGCTCATATAACAGTGACATATAACCCATCTGCTACATCTCCGTTTATCTTCAAGAGAAGATGAAGAAACTAGCAGCTATCCCTGCAGATTAAATAAGATAACACTACAAAATCACATCAATTAAAAACATATCCAAGATGAATTCATCAGTTAGGAAATAAATTACTAATGTGGACAAAGCGTTTGGCAAACAGGTGAGGCGTTGAGATCTTTACAGCAGCTTTACTGCACCCATTATTGGGGCTGCATTCAGTTGCTAACACAATAGTGATGTACCATAAATATTCTGGGTGGTTATCGGCCGCTCTGCTGCTGCTGCACAGCTCTAACTGTGTGTCTGCTGTTAGCTGCTGAGCAGTTTGTGTACAGTGGGTATATCAGAGCACTAAAAACAGCTGTTGGAGGATGATGGTGATGGTGAGAGAAACATTGAGTGGTGTAAGGACCTGAAGCAAGAGCAACCCGAACAGATTCGGAGTATTCTTTACCTCCTAATTAAGCCGCATTAGGAAGATTCTTTTTGAGATTCCTGCGTCCAGTTGACTGAACACTAATCCAGTTATACGTGTTTGTGCTTTTGGCACAGTCCTCTAATTTATACAACACAATCGTCTTGAAGATTCCCCCTAGTGTTTTTCCTTTGGTTGTGTAATTCAATATTTAGAGGACACAAACGATCATCAGTCGCTCTCTTCAGAAGGTTTTAACACCACAGTAGCCCTTTAACCTTTTAGTGGTAACTATGAATAAAGTGAATACCTTAATACCTTTATTTTATGTTAATATTACATAGTGCAGCGCAAACTGTAAAGGTATGAATTGTGTTATAGATCATATCAATCTGCTCAAATAGCAAATAAACATTGATTTGTTTGGAATGTACACTACAAAAGATGGGGTCAAATAAAATATAAACCAGAGCACACCTCTACGTACAATTAGCAACACTTAGTTGGTCAAATTTAGAGGTTATTGTGATAATGTTTTGGAAATCTGGATCTATGTCATCTCAGCAATTACACAACCCTGTCTGGTTGCCAAGCAAACAGCAAGGATTATTTTTTATATTTCAGATGCAGAGGGAGCATCATAGCAACCACAGACTGCTGTCAGGGAACCAATGAGACGTCCTGAAAAAGGTAACACGCAGAATACTGAATACTAAAGTCTGATCACAGGATGAGCATTATTCACACTGATGACCTGTAGACACATTCCTGTGAGATGTTGTTAATGTATCCTGAGAATCTGTTATTGTAAACATTAATGTTATCTTGACATACACATCCCAACATATCTTAGCTCAAGTTTCTTTGGTCACATGATCCCAATGAAGCCCAATCCATAACGACAGAGCCCACATCAGTACATCCCCTTTTTTTACATGTCAATGTACATTGTGTACAATAAACCGTTATTTTTGTTATACACAATTTACAATGTCCAGTTCTGTTCCATTTTTTTAAGGTGTTTTAGGGAAGATGTTTGAAAAAAAGGTCTGTTTTTCTGATCAAAAACTGAAGATGTTTAATTAAAATACGTCATTAAATACCCCACTGGTGTCTAAATGAGACTAAACGTCATCACGCCCAACATTAGCCACCTTTAGCTTAGCGGTGGTGATGTGCAGCCATGTGACCAGTGCCCTGTACTACGAAGCCAGTTCAACAGACCCTGGATATGTTTGAGTTACCCGGCTTACCTAACCCTAACAAACGTGCTCTCGCTAAGCGGTCCTACGACGCTGGTTATCAACTCGGTAAATCAAGCCAGGGTTTCTCTCTCTGACTGAGAGCGCGTTCACGTGAAAGGGGCGGGGTTAGCAACATTTGACCAATCACAAACATGGACAAGCATACTGACAGCGCAGTGTCACACTTCATTAATGAAAAGTAAACTATCATGTTAGACAAATATGAAGAAGTTAAACTTTAAACATCCATGATTTAATCACATCATCTAGGATAAAAGCCACATAGCTGCACCTGCATGGTGAATACAGAACAGCTGGTAAAAAATAAATAAATACAGAGTGTCTGAATGCGTACATTAACAGTTTTATGATATCACTGCCCCGTCTAAGACACGAGTGGATCTGACTTTAATTACTCAAGTGTTTTGTCAACTTAATGTGTTGCTTAAAATAATACTTCTGCATACAGTATGTGACACTGTGAGTGTTGCACGGCCAGATACGGCTTGCGAAGTTGACACAGATAAGGAAATATATGATATATTATGATGCGATATGAACAGAGCCGGCCCGACCCATTAAGTGACATAAGCGGCCGCTTAGGTCCCCGCAGCCACTAAGGGCCCCCTAGCAACAAAAAATAATTTTTTTTTTTTTTTTTTTTTTAATAAAAAAAAAAAAATCTCAGTACACCGTCGCTGTGATAAGTATGTTTAATTAATTGTGTTAATATGCCTAGATTGCCTACTCTCAAAGTCATGTATTATATTATTGAGTCAATAATATAATACATTAACCGTGCTTTACCTGAACCTCATCATGACACAAGAGAGGACGGCAGGATTGTAATTTCCCGTGTTCAGTGAATGCAACAGAGGCAAGACACCAGGGGCCTGTACTACCAAGCTGGTTCAACCTAACCTGGATATGTTTGAGTTAGCCGGTTGGCATAATCCAAAACATACGCGCTCTCGCTAAACGGTACTATGACGCGGGTTATCAAGTGGATCGCTCAAGCCAGCCGTGTCCTATCTAGTAAGGTGCGCGTTCACATGAAAGGGGTGGTATCTGGAGCATTCGACCAATCACAAACATGGAGAAGCATACTGACAGCGCAGCGTCATACTTCCTGAATGAAAAGTCAACTATGACTCATGGGGCCCTAACATCCATGACTTAAACACATTATCCAGGATAAAAGCCACAGAGCTGCACCTGCAAGGTGAATACAGCTGGTAACAGAACAAGTGTTTGAATGCGTACATTAACAGGTTTATGATATCACTGCCCCGTCTAAGACACGATCTGACTTTAATTACATTTGACTCGAGTGTTTCGTCAACTTAATGCGTTGCTTAAAATAATACTTCTGCATACAGTATGTGACACTGTGAGTGTTGCACGGCCAGATACGGCTCAGCTGACTCAGATAAGGAAATATATGATACATTATGATGTGATATGCCGCGGACTGTACTTAATGTTACTCTGATCCGGTTACTTATGTTGTGGCAGATATTTAATGAAGCTTTCTTAACATAGCCTAATAGTATAATAGTTATAATAGTCAGATTGCTCTGAAGATGGGTGGTGATGTTCTATTAATTTTCACGTTCACACAGTCGGTGATTTTTGCCGGCCGTCTTTCCTGCAACGGCAGTTTAAACTGTATTTCCTCCGCACACTGAGCTCTGATTGGTCAGCAGGCGTGGTGCTTTCGCTGAGTTGATCTCTTATCCTGGAACCTATCCGGCTTCGGAGCACAGACTAGGTTCCAGGATAAGTCACCATGGAGATCTAGCCCGCTAAAAAGTGAACCAGCTTCGTAGTACCGGAAATCCCAGAAGTTATCTTGCTAAACGAAAATCCTACTTCGTAGTATACCCCCCTGACCAACCAGAGAGTTGAATGGAAATAAATATCTGTCTTATTGGCTGACAGGTACCTATCCTGTGAGCTGTGACAATGTTTAAAATAAACTGTCAGTCGGACTCAGAGTTTTTGAAGATGGACATAAGAAAACATTTTCTTAAAAAAGACGACAATTCTCAAGTGGTGGCTCACACAACAACCCCAGAGCCACCACTTGAGCCAGGTAAACAAGGTATGTAAATGTCAGTAAACTTCCAAGTTATGCGAACATGTAAGCAAAGCATAAATTACAGCTACATTGACGTTACTTTGAATCACGGTGGTAGGCTAAACCGTTAGCAAGTAGCTATAGCTAGCCAGATATATTAAATAAACACTTTGTCATACAATCTAAATGTAATGTTTTTTAGCGTTACCTGGTGATTTCAAAGATAGCTCTCTGGGAAATGTTGACTTACTGTCAGTGTTCGACATGAAGCTAGAAGCTACCTTACAGTACACCGTTGATCCTGAGTCCTGTCAGTTAAAGTGTTTCATAGTTAGCTTAGCTAAGCATCAACCTAGCACTGAAATATATGGATGTTATGTGACAGTATTTCTGAGAAAAAGTCAGCTGAAATGGTGGCATAGTTGCCACTGCTTTATGTGCTGACAGCATTTTTGAACATATTTGCAGCAGTAAATGTGGCTGTTTGGCCACTGACGTTGCCATAACAACACCTGAATTTAAATGTGCAACCTCTTTTTGTGACAGATTTTTGCAAGAAATTATAATTCTTCTGAATGATATTCCTATTGACAGCTAGTTTCTATGTGAACATTATGATATGGACAGCCAGAGAGAATAAATGAAAAACAGTTATGAGATACTATATGACAAAACAAGAATACAGTTTAAGTGATTTGTAAAATATCCATAAAGAAAAATCTGTTTACAGTTCTGTTTCATATGAGTGTTGAGAGATGTATCCATAGATCTCTTCATTTTGCTCTCAAAGTGCACCAGATTGATGCTTTTAACTTCAATATATAAAAAAAAATCTTCCCGGGGATGCATGCCCCCGGACCCCCCTAGAGGAGGCGAGGACCCCCCTAGAGGAGGTTAGGTCCACAGTGTTTACATGCTTATTTATACAATATGTGTGCTTATGCTAACATCATAAGACAAAAGTGTGTGTTGTGTGTGGTGAGAACGCGCTAGAGTGAGGGGGGCCCCTCAAGCCAAAGCTCGCTTAGGGCCCCCAAAAGTCTAGGGCCGGCCCTGGATATTAATGATAAGTGCGACACGTCGGCGTCTTCCCTGCATATGGCAGTTTAAACTGTATTTCCTTTATCCTGTAATATGACTTGATAGCTTTAAACTCTGCACACTGAGGTCAGCAAGCGGTGCTTTCACTGAGTTGATCTCTTATCTGGAACCAAACCTGCTCCGCATAAGTTACCATGGAGATCTACCCTGGTAAGAAGTGAACCAGCGTCGTAGGACCGGAAACTCAGAGTTAACCCTGAAGTTACCTCGCTAACCGCAAATCCTGCTTCGTAGTACAGGCCTCAGGATGTAGTTTGTTTATTGACTAACACTAGCTTTTTTAAAGCTAAATTAAAAAGCTAAATAATTTTTTTTTTCATTTGGTACAAAGTGGTGTTTATAATGTGGAGATAATCCTGCTGAACAAAAATGTGTTTGCCAACAATCTTATTATTTTTAATATTCCAAAATCCAATGGAAAGATCCTTCTGGTGGAGGGAGCACTTGTGAACACTAGCCTAAATCACAACCCTTCTCAACTGAAACGAGTCCCACGTCTTCAGTTTAAAGAATGCTTTCACTGGAAATGTCTAGCTGAACCCACATTATCTTAATACTCTATGTATAAAACAAAAACTTAGCATTTTCTGATTATCATTATGTTTTGCTTATCTAAACTCTACTATGTGGTCATGTGATTAATAGTTGGCCTGTATCCTGAATTAATGGAAGTCGGATTTTCCTTTAAAAACAGAATATTTTTTATCCTGAATATCTTCTTTTCTAGGGTCACGTTTCTCTGTTGTCTAACATAAGTAAAACAAACATCTTATGGATTTTTGTTTTCTCTTGTATTTATTTTAGGGCTGTCAAACGATTACAATTTTTAATCAGATTAATCACAGCTTAAAAATTAATTAATCATGATTAATCACCATTCGAACTATGTCCGAAATATGTAATTTCTTTATGTATATTGTTGTGGGAATGGAAAGATAAATGAAAGAAGGCGGATATATCCATTTAACACAGTATGTATGTTTATTGTAACATTTTTTCTGTGTGTCAAAATGAAAGAGAGCACCTATCAATCATCAAACCGTGGGGTCTTAATTCATTACGTGTTGATTTCTATCAACGGGGGAGTACTTCAGGAAAGTCGACAGGGGGTGGGGCTAGTGGAGTACTTCGTGACCACAGAGTGTGAACGTTGTGATCAGCTGTTTTAGCGCAGTTCTCCAGTGAAGGGGGGGGAGTCTCCCTCCGCAGCCGGTTGGCGTAGTTTTGGCACAATTCCGTTGAACAGACCGACGTTAACAGCAGCCCTGTCTGTGCACACGGAGACCGACTCTGTCGTCCGGTGATCTAACCGCCTTCTGGAAAAGCTTCACAAGTACGTCGGTACGCAAATGCGCTTTGTGACACAAGTGACGGTACGCATTTTAGATTACGCACATAACCTGCGTACCAGTTATGTGTTACCTGTACTACAGCAAAAGTATTCTCCGTCGGGACTTCCTGCAACAACACCACGCCGTTATCTTGATTCTGATTGGGCAGAAGACATTATCAAAGATGTTCTATTGAGAAGACGATCACTACGTGACAAAAGTTTTCAAAACCGTTTCTAGTCTTCGGTATTTCCAGACAAGTGGCTGCTGAAATCAATCTTACTAACTGCTGTCTGTGCAATTTACTCCGCGCGAGTTAGCGGACTTTATTTTGCTTACTTTAACATCATTTTTCATGGTGGGGCTAAGCCATTTCTTGGTATGGGTGTAGCCTACCCCAGCCATACCCTGGTGCTGCCACTGGTGGGATGTATGGGGCGGGCCATTCTGCACATGAGTTAAATACGTTAAATATTTTAATGCAATTAATTAAAAAAAATAATTACCGCCGTTAACGCGATAATTTTGACAGCATTAATTTATTTACATTGCATTTATTCAAAAGTAACGGAAAGTAATCAGGTTACATTACCTTTATATTGTGATACTCAGATTAGGTTACTAATAACATTGTTTTTAGAGGTAATAAATCATTGTTACGGAATACATTTTTTAAGTTACCCTGCTTGTAAGCCGCGGAATGATTAAAGTGATGCGTAGGCAAACAGCTGTGTGTCGCTGTGCACGCACCAACAGATGGGGAGCTCTATGTGTGTGGAATGATGAACAAACATCAGAAATAAACACTCTCCTGAGCTTTAACACGTTTTTACTACAAACGTGAATTTATAGAATTGGTTACTGTGCACTCCAACATGGAACACATTTGGACACTAACGCGACTCCATCACGCGCAGCACCGCGTTTACCCCTCCACCGACCCAGCGGCAGATTCCCCCAACTGTCCCCCTACATCAACATCACACATGTGGGAACCTCTACCCAGGGCCGGTCCTAGACATTTTAAAGTAAAATGCTTCAATCTGGTGAACTTTGAGCAGAATTACTAAGACTAGATCTACAGTAGGGGGTACAACTTTAAACATAACCGATAACCTACCATAGCCAATAACAAATAAATGTAACTTATTTAATTTTTGTTGTTCATTCATATCTTATTTTACCTAGTTAACATTTATTTATTCATGCATTTTTTTTAATATCTCCAGTTTTAAACGATATTTTTGGTTTACTGTCTATAGAGTATACATTGGAATGATTTAAAACCTGTTTTTATTTATCCTAATAATTATAAAAGTGTGCCTTGGAAATATGTGTTAACATAAATTGTGACCAAACCGTTTGGGACTCACTGAGATAACTAAAGTGAACTATCTAAACACTCAGAGTCCTTTACCTCACTGAGCTGTAGTTATCAGTCTCAATCCAACAACAATCCGCGGTACCGATGCGCTCGGAGGCTCACTCGCACTTTGGCTGTGAGCTGCGGGCGCCTGACAAGCCAACATCCCCCACTTTCATCACAAAAAATGTTTTCCCTCCCAGAACTACCAGCGCAGCGCCCCCCCCCCCCCCCCATATCTGGCACCCTAGGCGACCGCCTATGTCGCCTATGCCAAAGACCGGCCCTGCCTCTACCTGTAACTTCCACACAGCTGCTGTAAACAACACTCCAGCACCGACACCAACACACTCCACACTAACACAGGGTGAAGACAGCAGCGAGCCAAAACACACACACACACACACACACACACACACACACACACACACACACACACACACACACACACACACACACACACACCCCCCACACTCACGCACGAGATGTTTTTACCTGCTAATGATGACGGCTCCTTTATACATGACTGAAAAGGTGGGCATGTTGACGGTGCAGGACGCACGGTGGAACGAGGCTCCAGCTTCAGCCTTTAGTAGGCAGCCTCATGGTGTGTGCGTGCAGGCAGCCTAATGCCAGAAAAACTGTCCGCTCCAAACATCTCCACCTTCACACACTCTTAATCTCTTACGTAACCAAAGTCACCGAAAATGAAAAGGGCGCAGAACGCGCTGGAAACGATTCGGTGAGGCTCGGCTCACGCGAGGACTCCAGCTCAGGCTACCTGCTAATGGAGGCTCATTGGCAGGAAGCAATGTCCTGTTCTGACATTGATTTATTATTGGATATTGATCAGCACCATAGATCATCTCCTCATTAGTCCTTTAGTATGTAATAATGGTTTACTAGATATAAAAATGTGTTGGCAATGAATTGAAAATGTTTGCAGCATTTCAATTGTCTTTCTTTTTTTACATACAATTTAAAGTATTTAATAAATCATAATGATTACTTTTTTAAATTAGAAAATGCTGTGAATAAATATTCCATTAGCCATTTCACCAGACTAACAACTGTTCAGTGTGTGTGTGTGTGGGGGGGGGGGGGGGCAGTGTCCATGCTCTCCATTTAAAAGCCACTTTAATCCTCCGTTGACATCCATTGTCATTTGTCACTCTGCCAGATGTGTTTTTATTTATTTTTTCCTGCTTTTTACCTGCAAATGTCATTTATTTTTTTCATTGCCAATCAATCTATTCAAAGCCTACATTCATTACGTATTACATGGAAAACATGGTCATTTAAAAAAAATTAACCAGTGCTAAGTTGTGACCAGTTCATTTCCATTAACTGATTGGGTATTTTCACATTATATTTAAATCGAACCATTAGAATGCAGTGATTACTTGTTTTAAGAATGTACGAGCCAAAATGTTTGGGAACAACTCATTTAGAATAATATATTTTTCGATTATATTTTGTCATGTTTCAGCTAAAGATTCTTATGACCTGACCTGTTTAAATGTGACCTTATAAGCTAATAGTAACTGTATGCTATCCATTATTTTTATATTGAAAAGGCAGCAAAACAACCATCACGGGCCCTACGGGATGAGTTAATCAGGTTTTGTCAATAAAGGGCGTGGTGTTTTCATCACCTAAAATGCAACATTTTAGAATATCATGAAAAGGGTTTTAGTCAAGTTAGTGTTAAATGCTGCTCTAGAATAAACCAACTTTCTAATTCCTTAATAATAGTAGTAGAATACAACGTCTGCACACTGCACAATTCAATAAAGTCTGCAGACAATGTGATTTAATTAGGCTTACGTTTTTCCAGTTACTCAATAATGGCATAAAATATAATTTACTGGCAGCTTCATTGCAAAACATGAGCCCAAGCATCATAAAATACATCTGGCATTATGTGTAGGTCCATGACGAACTAAAATGAGTTTAGGTCAAACACATATTTAATTTTTTTTTACTACCAAGCTAAATACATGTGAAAATATCCTAGAATACTAAAACAGCTTAGCGAAGCCTCCTAATCCTTGGCATGCAGGGACCAGTACTATCTGCCGGTCAATTTCACTTCACTGACTGATAGAGATGGAAACCTACCTGGCAACACTCAGAGGAACTTTCAACCGTTTGAACATGGCTCTGTTTTTGTGGAAACGCCTGGATATCTGCTTCTGGTAGTTAAGATTGGCTCTGCATATTCCCTCTCATCATGCACTGCAGCTGCCAAGCCGACACCAAGAGAGCCAATTGATGAGGAGATGATAAGCTTATGGCAAAAGGATAATACACACAAATCCATATGGCACAACAATGTGCTAAATATAGGCCTTAATAAGAGGGCTACTTAATGACTCCAAACAGCCACACAATATCTTTATGACACTATATTATTCATCATTTGCTCTGTCAATTTAGAAACAGGTTGTGGTTCGCTTTGGTTAGAAACTGCTGTCAATGCGCCCAATTGATGTCTTTAAAGCTGTATTCACTAAACTAAAAGAGACGCTGAGTATGTTGTCATAAAGCGCTATAGTTTATTTGTATTATAGTTCTATAATCTAGTTTTTTATGTCATCTTTAGGTCAAGTCCAGTGATGTCATTTAGAGGCACAGTTTTTATATTATTTTATTACATGGCTTAGATGAATACTTGATTCTGGAAATATCAGAGGTTGTTAATACTTGATACACCTACCGCTGCTAAGCAAAAAAATTACCGTTTCTAAGTGAGAGGAGGAAAGAGATTAAAAGCGTAGGACGTCAGAGAAATCAACAGAGGAAGGCGGACAGGATGTCAACACTAACAGGAACAGCAGAAGAAGACAGACAGGAAGTCAACACTAACAGGAACAGCAGAAGAAGACAGACAGGAAGTCAACACTAACAGGAACAGCAGAAGAAGACAGACAGGAAGTCAACACTAACAGGAACAGCAGAAGAAGAAGTAAACACTTTGGGTGTTTCTCAATCTCGAGTAAAGCTGCTCGAGAGACACTATTTCAAGCATACTACGTCATCGAGTGCCACCGAAGTATAATGTTCCAATGTCCAGCATACTTGGAATTCTACCGAGCCCGGCGTACTTCGTTTGGAGAAATTTAGAGGCTGCACATGTGTCTCCGCGGTCTTAAAATCCCCACAATGCTTTGCGCACGGACCAATTTCCCCAAATCTGTGGCGGAAAATGTAAGGCGTGGCCTCTCATATGACGCACACCTGCACACTTGCTAGCCTGTTCCACTCTTCGTTTTCCGAATGCTAGGAAGTATTCTTGCTTCTGAAGCAAGATGCTCTGAAGACATTGCTACCAAGCAAGCGGACTCGAGATTGAGAAACACCCTGCGTGTTACTCATGTACTACTTCCGGTGGCGCGGCCCTGCTGCGACCCGGGCTCCTGTCGTGTGCTGTGGTTTTTTATGTTGGTTTACTTTTTCTTCCTTGATTTTTGACCACACCTTTTAGTTGGAACAATGACGACCCTTGCAACTGTTTTACTGGCACTTTTTATCCCATCACTTTTTTGACCAAGTCAAACAATACGGGGAGGAAATAACCTGTCAGACACCAGAGACTGGCTGGCCCTCCGTGCTGCGGGACAACATTGATTGGTTTAAATTGTGTGCAATGCTTTTGTATTTTTCCCCTTCGATTCGGAGAAACAAATGTTTTTTCGGAGTTTAGGATGGCAGAAGACACTATACTACCCAGAATCCTCAGCTATTGTTTGGGACTACACCATGTGCTTTGCTTGACAAACCCTGTGATTGGTTGTTGGAGTGGCAGTGCGTGAAGTTTACACCGAGTGTCAAAAACAATTTTGAAATGGAATGAAACCCATCGACGGAACACTATCCAAAACTGGACTCGAACGTGTCCTACCCCCCCCCCCCCCCCCCCCCCCCCCTCCCCTTAGGTCACAGGCCTCCTCCAACAGTGCAACACCATAAAACAGATACACAGAAAAAATAGTGCAAGTCAATACAAAAAGAAAAATAGTAAAAAGTGAAATAGTGCAATAAGAGTCGATATACAAGTGATTGGAATATGATATATTAGATCAATAATTTCTAAGCAGCAGCCAGATGAATGTTATGGATGTTGTTTCAAAAGTTCAGGTGTTAACAGTCTTCTGGCCTGTGGGATGAAGCTGTCCCTGAGTCTGGTGGTTTTAGCCCTGATGCTGTGGTAACGCCTGCCAGATGCAGCAGACAGAACAGTTTGTGGCTGGGGTGATGGGGGTCTTTTATAATCCTGAGGGCTTTCTTTAAAGTTAACCTGGTATTTTTACTCCACTACATTTATTTTAGTTACTTTACAGATTCTGATTAATGATGTGAAATATAAACAACCCTTAAATCAGACTTTAGTTACACCTGAGTAAAATTCAGTGAAGGTGATTGTCAAGTGCCAACAATCAGGAGAGATATTTGATAGTTGGTGCTTGAGAAGACTAAACATTTATCTGCAGATCCGTATAAAGTATATTCATTACTCGTTATTCTCTAATCGTTCATTAAAGACTGCATATAATTGATATTTTGCACATCCCTTTCAAGATTTCAAGATTTTCAAAGGTTTATTGACATATCATATACACAACTACGGTGTAGTTATGCAATGAATGAAAAACCTGGGTCACAGCAGGTTCCTCAACAGTGCATTACAAGATATCTATCAATATGTGTGTATACCTCCACCATTAAACTGTCATATTCTGCACATTTCTTATCCTATCTACATACATCTTATAAGAGTATAATAAATATATATAATATCAGTTAAAATAAGTGCTTCAACATAGTTAACATTGCAGGAAAGTTGATTGTCAAGTCCCAAAACAAACCATGCAATATAATAAACGTTAAGTACTTTGTCAGGCTTAATATTGATCAGATACCCCCAAAGCTTTTTGCTTACATGTATTTAAAAGAAGACCTTAACCTAAAGTATTATTTAATGTTTTAACAAAGCCTAATTAGTTTGTCTGTTTTGCACATCCTCCTATTAATATCTTTGTACATGCGGCACTAAACTGTTTTAATCTAGATATCACTTACAGTATCTTCTTGATATGTTCTATTCTATATTTCTATCATTGACCTTCTACTTTCCTCCTATTTTGTGTGTACTCTTAATATTTAAATGTTTTCATCAAATATAACACATTCAAAAGTGCTTTACAAAAAAGAAAGACATTAAGAAAAAGGCATTTTAAAACAGTCATTAAAAAGCAACACAATCTACCCGCATTGCAATGACTCTAAACGTGTAATAACGTGCTTTAACCAGTAGGTGGTTTGGGTTAAAAAGCTGTCAAATTTACAGTGTTAACAAAATAAAATATACTGCTGTTTCCGGTTTGGTTTACGGCGGATATATTTTGTTATTGTTTTGATATTTGTAACACAAAAGCGATGAAAAAAAAACACAGCAAAACAGAAAAGATGGTCTTAACATGACCCAGCAGACCGCTGGGTCATGTTAAGACCATCTTTTCTGTTTTATTAACTACTAGACCAGTAGTTAATAAAAAACAATAATATCAAAACAAAATATTACTACTAACTTTATTGTGAAATTAAAACAGAACGGTAAAATAATAGTTTCCGGTCTATTCTGAGGCCTGGGTTGCGTTCTGATAATCCAAAAATCAGCTCCTAAATTCTAACCCTATCTCCTATTCCTTGACCTCTGAGTGAAACGTCACGGGGTTAAGGGATAGTTGATAGGAGCATTCAAAAGGACTTAGGAGAAGA